CCCCCCCCCCCCCCCCCCCCCAAGTTTTATTATATTTATGCAGCCAATGGGAATAGTTACCAAAGATGTGCTTGTATTTTAAATTCCAATTTCATTAATTTTTATTTAGTTGGTACCCGGTACAAAAATTCCATTATTATTTTAACTACGGTAACTTGACAAAAAATCCATTGAAAAAAAATGACCGCAAGAAGCTGAATCTTCTTGATTCTTTTGGGTGGATGAATACTTTTTTCACACAGATGTCGATTTATGTTCAAAATTAGATGAAAAACGAAATTAATTTAACTTAACAAGCTGGTAGCGGGCCGCATAGAACGAAGCCGTGAGCCGCATCTGGTCAGCGGGCCATAGTTTGCCAATCCCTGAATTGAGATTTAAAATGACATGTACCTCACACCCACACAAGGAGGGCTAAAAACGTTTTTTCTACTGTTCCGCCCTGGGTGGCACTTTTTCTTTATATAATAATAGGCACCATTTTCAGTCTTGGCACTAAGCGCAGCTTTTTCTCGGCAAATTTCTTAGTTGTGCATCAACGTTCTAAGTCTTTTTTTTTTTTTTTAAAGGAAAGATTGTGCCTGAAAATTTCAGATTCTTTTTGAGTGTACAGCAGTCTGTATTATGAATGTGTCAGGACCCGTATTAGGTAATGTAATGTTTTTTCAACTAAATCATTTTATTAAGGAATAAAGTACCGTACCTGTACATTTGTCTGTAGCCATAGAAACTTTTTTTTTAAGTTCTTTAATTTATATTATAATTATAATTTTGGATTACATGCGCTCCATAGGGCCATGGTTCCAACTGCTGAATCCAGGCATTCCCAAGGCACTCAATCAAATTATAAAAAGGGCATTTCGATATAGTAGGCTGTAGTGAATTATTAATTTTAAATTTTATTTTTAAAGGATAGGGGCCATCCATATATTTCGATTTGTTGATTTAAAATACTTTGTGTATGGGAAGAAGGCCAGTTGGGCAGAATGATTACGGTACACAGATTATGCACAAATTCTGCAATAATTATTCTGAAAATTCGTAAATACTTATTTATAATTTTATATCTCAACTATGTGATCAAGATAGACCTGCTATTACTATTAGGTCCTTTATCTGACAGAGCAAAAGAAATCTTTTCTTTCTGTATTTCAGATGGTTTATACCAATATAAAGTAATGCCATTTGGAACGAAAAATGCCCCAGCTACATTCCAACGTCTAGTCAATAACATATTGATGACCAGGAAAATTGCAGCGCCTATGTTGATGATGTAATTATTTACAGTAAAGATTTTTTACGTCATTTAACTATTTTAACCCAGTAATTTTTGCAGGCAAATTTCAACTATAAATTTGAACAAGTGTGACTTTTGTCATGCCACTGTGGAATATTTAGGTTACATAGTCATAGTGGGTCAAGGTCATGTGAAGCCTGTTCAAGCGAAGATAATTGCCATCACATCACTTCCTCCACCTACTACTAGGTAATGAGATTTTTGGGAATGGCATTATATTTATAGGAAATTTTGCAAAAACCTTCACAGTAATTGCTTCTCCCTAAGTAATTTATTAAAGAAAAATGTACAATTTCATTGATCAGATGCTTGTCAAGAAACATTCGAAAATATTAAAAAATGTACTACCCAATGCTCCTGTTCTTATTGCACCAGATTTTTACAGCTTAAATTAGCTGTAGATGTCAGTGTTCTTGATATTGGCTTTGGTGCAGTTCTTTTTCAAGAAGATGATCACAGGTAGATAATCCTATAAGCTATTAGTATTTCTCTAAGATGTTTAACTCCCATCTTAAAAGATCATTCCACATTAGAAAAAGAATACTCATGTTTAATCCCTGCTCTACAACAATTTGATTTTTATGTCAGTTATTCATTACATACAGTACTTGTTTTTACTGATCACAATCCTTAAATATTTTTGAATAAGCTGGTCTAAGACAAAGATAATGTTATAAGTTATTGCTACTACCTTGTCCAGAAAGTAACTTTCACTGTACATATAAATTATGTTATGTAATTATTTATAAGCTGTTAAGCTTTTGTTTAAAAACTTGAAGGAAAGAAACGTATTTTCTTTTAGTTATTTAATAGAAAAGAATTCCATTTCATCAAATGAATTTTTTTTTTAAAGAAGGAAGGTGTTACGGTAGAAGTCTTGTTTACATCGTAAAACCCGTGCAAGAACTCTGTGTGTCCCCAAGTTCGGCTTAATTATAAATTATCTCCCTTGACAACATGTAAACATAGTCTATAGTCTTTAGAATTCTTTAGAACATACGAGAAAGACCGAGATGCAGAAACCAATGCGTATCCCCTTTCTGGAAAAGTCTCTATTATTAAAAACTATAAATAAGCCGAGCGACATAGGTAGCGGTATTGAGGTGTCAGGGGTGTCAATCGCTCGGCGGGCCAAAACTCAAATCACTTTTAAGGTTGCGGGCCAAACAGGATAAACATTCAATAAGCGGAAAATTATTATTATTTTTTTTTAAAACATAAAAATTAAAACAAAAAGTTTTAACAATTAAAAATCATTGGAATACCCAATTCCGTTCTTATGGCAATTTGTCGGAGCTGGATGTTTGGCACATTTTCTTAGCTACAAAAACAAGTTCGTTTATGTTTGGAGTAACTTTCTATGTCATTGAGATTCTCATGATGAACTGCAAGTGTTCATCAGTGAGACGACTCCTGGTGATGTTTTGTTAATATTCATCTCAGAAAACAGCTGCTTACACATTTATGAGCTACCTAACATGCTCAAGGTTCGAGCCGCATGTAGACGAAGCTGGGGCATCTCTTCAGAAATGAAAGGAGTGAACTGTGCAGGCCCTGCTGTGTGGTACTTTGCCTTTAGTGTCCCATTACACTGCAGCTCTATTAACTATATAATTATTATTTGACATATTTGAGCTAGATAGAGACTGCGAGTCAAAGAGCGAGACTGATTGTTGACAGTGTACTTTATATTTACAATCTCTATGTGTGCACCTTCCAACATTGTACCGGTACAAGTTTATTGCTGTACTGTAAGTGAATAGCCTTAGTTTTATTTCATTTGATTTTGCAAATTTAAAATTTACTGAATAACTTATTATTTGTAATTAGCCCTAGTTTGGATATAATTTTTTTTATTACTGTATTTAATTTATGGTATAGTCACGAGCCATAGAGTAAAATAAGAGATTAAATTCTCTACATAACAGTACTAACAGAGGGAGTGAATTTCAGAGGAGTTAATAGATCCAACATGACTTTGTTGTCAATGGAAGAGCTATTCTGGGACAAGCAATTCCAACTTATGTATTTAACAAAACAACTACTAAGATTAGAAATTAAAAGAATAAGAGATTAGCCATAGCAAAACAAATAAATTGAAATAAACCAGCTTCATCAATAAAATTGTAATGTTTATTTTAATTTCATAGTGAATAAATTACATAAAATAGATCCATTTTTAAAGTAATTCATGGAAATTTACTGTCAAAACTATACTGAAAATTGCATAAATAATTTATTAAATGCAACCTTAATTTTTTAGTATATTTGCTTCACTTAATAACTCATTTAGTCAAATAATTCAATCAACACATGCAGTTTATATTGATCTCAAAAGCATCTTAACTATGCCCACAATATGTTATCTTAACTATGCCCACAATATGTTATCTTATCTATGCCCACAATATGTTATCTTAACTATGCCCACAATATGTTATGGGTTTTTAATTTTTTTTATCAACTTTCCAATTTACAATAAAAGCACTTGATGCCTATATCAAGAAATATATCAAGAATCTAATAATGTTAGGGCTAAGTCCTTGATTCGTTGGACCTGGTCTTCAGTGCCATGGGTCTCTTCAAACCTCATGAATTTTTGGATTAGGAAAGACAACTTCTTAGCATTCAGCTTCTGTTTCACTGCTCGCTCCAGAATTAGTCTGAAAACAACACAATATAGACCTGTAAAAACAGTCTCGGAGATTTTAAACTCTTTAAGTAATTAATAAAAAAGTAAGAACAGAATGATTTTTATTAACTGTGACATTTTCAAGGCTTATCATATATATATATAAAGGTGAAAGTTTGTGGATTTGTGGGTTTGTGGCTTTGTTTGTTCCACAAAGGCTTTTACAAGGATTGATGGATCTTGACCAAACTTGACACATAACTCCATCATTATCCAAAGGGAAATCTTAAGGGGTTATGAACATTTTATAACTTTCCGTTTTGGGCCGGGGGCCCCGAATTCGTTTTTTTCCTAATATGAGCTATATAAAAATAATTAGAAACAAATACTCCTACATGAGTAGATGGATCTTGACCAAACTTAGTACACATATACTTTATTATCCATATTCAAATATTGAAGGGTACAGAACTCATTAATATCCATTTCTCAGGGCCCGGGCCGCCCAGTTATTTTTTCCTTATATAAGGTAAATAAATATCAATAGGCTTAGACAACACTATAGTTTCTATGGGAATTGATGGATATAGGCCTAGCGTTGTAGCAATACCCTTCATTGGCTGTATTGATATATCGGTGGATTTAAAACTAATAATATCCAATCTAGAATTTTCCAGAAACTTCCATAATTTTAAAAAACTTTATCTATGGCATTTTTAAGAAGATTTTTTGGGGACAAATTTTAAATTCTAACTTTATTATTTATCTGTCTGATTTTATAGGGCCCCCTACCTCAGATATAGCTATATCGGTACAGTGATGGTATGGGCCCCCCGGGGCCCCTCGATTAACTTATAAGAAAAAGGATTATAATTATGGCATTTGTTGAAGATTTTTATCGTATTTGAAAAATAATTAGATAAGTAGTTTTTACACAGGTTTCGAGCAGGTTTTTTAATTTTAATCTAGAATGTTCCAGAACGTTCTAAATTGTTCCAAAAGGATATGTAGTGGGATCTAAGGGAATATTGAAATGTTAGTTAGTTCTATTCATTTCTATACTGCCCCGGAGTTTACTTTTCTCTCAGTAACACTGAGTAATTTTTTATATTCGGAATTGAAACAAAGGGGTTGGGATCCCATCATAATCTTTATCCCAATGGGATCAGGATCCCAGCAGAAAACGGGATCCCACCGAGATGGGGATCCTAACAGTGAGTGGATCAACCGGGATCGGGATCACACCGGCAAATGGGACTGCGCCGAGATCGGTGTAAGAAATGGGATCGGGGGTCCAACGCAATCTTGGGCCACGCCGAGTATATCGGCTAGTAACCTATAACAGCAAAATTCTTCTCACTGCTTGCTGAGAGTTGAGAGTGGGTAAACTTCCATAATTTAGGGTAACATATTTTTAAAGGTGATGCTCTTACCTGGCACCTTCAATGTCTCCTACTTTGGCCACCATGTCAACATAAACTGACCATAAATCAGTCCTGCCTGGATAGCTTGCAATGAGATTTTCAAACATTGTACGGCCTCTTTCTGTATCTCCATCAGTAAATTCCAGATTAGCAAATCTGGTAATGACTTCCACATCTATATAATAATAATTTTAAAATACTGCTCTTTTTATTGCTTCTCAGTCTCATAGAGGGTTATATATCATATAGTATAGAATATTATACTATTTATACAAGTAATAATATGGTAGAAATAATAAAACAGGTTGTAAAATTAGATATGAGATATGCTTTTTTTAAACATATTTCCAACAGGGAAGATACAATGAATAAAAGCAAATAAAAATCCTGGACCATCAGTGTTTCTCCTATATTTTGAAAAGAAACTTGTGAATTCTATCTAGTTTTCATGTTTGACATTTTTCTTTTTGCTAAGCTTTTTAATAAATATTATTTCAAGAAACCAAATGAGACAAAAGTGAATTAAATAAATGAATACCCAAAATAGAAAAATAAAATCTATAGTCTACCGTATATCTTTAAGTTGTCCTTTTTTTTTAAAAATTCTGTTTCCCTAAAAACTATTTTAATGCCTTTGAAAATGTGAATGTAGACATAAGGCCAACAAGAACAAAAGGTCAAATGACAAGTGTTTAATTGCAACAAAAATTCATCACAATGATAAACTGACCAATGGCCAACAAAATGTCAAACACAATGGCTGGTTGAGCAGAGGATGATATGGAGAAAAGCCAGACAAGATCATTCTGAGTGGTTATTCATTCAATTAAGGACAATTTTTGACAAACTTAATTATAATATATTGCTCTCCTTTTTGCAACTTAATAATAGTCTCCATATTACCATTTGTCTGTGTGTCTAGCTCTTTCAACTGTAAGCTTTATGGTTTTTGGAGTCTTTTTTCTTTTAAGATATAATACAGTGCCTTTCACAGCACCATGATGCCTTGCCCTTCTAACTTCATCTATCATATTTCTATTAGCTTCCACACCAGAATTTCATCATCAACAGACTTTCCAAATCACTCCAAAGATTATGAGCATGTTCATTAAAAAAAGTCAGAATGCTAAAACTTGTAAATTTTGGTAACAAACACAATGTGACTCATTGCCAAATGTACAAAATATATTTCCTAAGTACAGTACTTCCAGCAAAATGTTTTTTTTAAAAGTTCCTAAATATTAATCAAACAACCTAAACAATAAAGCAAAAAGAAATGTAAAAATAAAAATAGTGACCACAAATATGTCAATTTTCTTCTAAATTTTGGCACAATTGTACATACCGGGTATGTAATAAATTAAATATATTATATATATCTGTACAATAGTGCCTATATATTTATTTATATGACAAACCATACTTCTATTTTATAGAAAAAAAAATATTTTCTTTACTGAATGCACAGAATAAAATTACCTCATCTGGAAATCCTGGGATGTGTGATTTTTTTGATTTGGTGAAATAAATGAGAGCGGTGTGTATAAATGATGACACTGGAGCCCATTAGCAGACCTGTTTAACCCCAAGTTAGTGCCAACTCTCAAAAATGTAGTTTCATTTCCAAAGAGCAAAGTACAGTTTGGTCAATTTAAGGGGGGGAGGGGGTTGTGTGTGTGATTACGATGAAAATAATAATACAGTTTATTTTAGAATCACGTGTAGGGGTAAACAGGTCTGCAGGCGAAGGAACCACAAAAGATGCATTTAGCAGCAAAAAGAGAGAATAAGTTAAATTATGTGATATCTATTAACAAACTTACGTTTTTTTTTGTCCAAAACTTGTATAGAGCGTTGCAATAAATTTCTTGCAAACTGGACTCGTCCTGACTTGTATAAAAACTGGCCATATGATTTCCAAACCAATTTATCATGCTTATACTTTCGAATTATCAAATTATACAGCTGTTCTGCTTCCTGTCAAAGAAAATTCATAACATTTAATCCTCAATGGTAATGCCACTTTCCTTTTGTTGCATAACTATGTAATAAATAATAATGCTTCTATAAAGGTATTAGGCAACATTTTGATCATTTAATTTAACAGCGAATAGTTATCTGGGCCTCTGAAGTTGCAGAAAAAAAAATATTTCATAAATAACTCACAATTGGTAGTGAGAGAAAAAGTTCAAAATGAATGTACAAGTAGCAAAATTTGAAAAAAGATAAAACAGAAAGTGTAATTTTTTTTTACAATAGTACGCTAATAAATCATTTAGATAATAAAGAAGTAGCCAAACAAAAAAAGTACATGATTTCATCTGACCTCTGTTTTGCCATTGGACACATAGATGTCAGTCATTTTAAGGTAGATGTCCAATGGATTATTGTATGACACTGCCCTTTCTAGTAGCTTCTTTACATCACCAGAATCACCATACATTGTCTCCATGTTCAAGTAAGCCAGCCACACATTCAATTTTTCCTGTTCTTCTCTATAATTTCAAAGAGTTCATTCTTTTAAAGAGTTGTTAATTTTAATTGTGGGTGGGCGGGAGGGAAAGAAGGGGCAGTCATTTTGCTACAATATTTGAAGTATTTAAAAAAAATATAATTATGATTAGTAACTAATAATCACATACCTAAATGTAATTGTGTTTAAGGCTTTCTCAGCCACTACTCTGGCCTTCTCAATCTCTCCCAATTCAATATGATATGCCATAAACCGTAACCAAATCACAGAGCTGTTAGGTGACTGAAGAACAAGTTTCTCAAAATCATTTGCACTTTGGGGTGCAATTTTTCCTTCCAATTGGCTTTTTTCATACTGAAAAACATTTAAAATAATATCCTGATAAATTCTTTTAGGAAGATAAATGTAAATGCTAGAAAAAAATTTGGAGGTTGCTACTGCAGTTTGAAAAATTCTATGCTCTTTCTAAAGTTAAACTTTTAAAAATTATTTAAAATAAGAGAATATTAAAAAAAGTTAATGTTTTTTTAGTTAAGAGTTTAATACTTTTAAGAACTTACTTCTTGTATTAATTTTTCCTCATTGCGCTTCCTTTTCTTTTTTGTCTTGGAGGCATCAGTATTTGCCTGAAAATGTAAGTTGGATAAAAACCAATATCTAAAGCAATTTCATGACGTCTATGACCATAAAATTATTTTTAAGATAATTTTTTGAAAAGCAATACTTACATTATCTTTCTCATCATCATCATCAATATTTTCATGGTCATTCACATCCTTTGCTATCTCACCATCCCAAGAAAATCCTTGAATATCAAGTCTTGGCACTTCACTATCTACTTTCTAAAATGTGAAACACAGTTAAGACACTTTAATTAGAGTATTAGATTTTTAAATGAGAATTATAGTTATTTATCTGACTCTCAATCCAATTTGTCTTATCGGTAAGATTGATATAAACTAGCATTTAATTTCCATATTTTAAAAAATGTATGTAGATTGACAAATCGGCCTCTAAATTTTTAAGTAAGCTGCATTATTTAAAAATCTCTATAATGCAAGTTTACTGCTGATAGAAAAAAAAACTTTAAATACATACTTTGTGTTTAACTGTGACATTTTCCTCATCTGTATCAGAAGAGTTTTTGGCTATATCCACGCCACTGTCTCCTTGGTCATCAGATTTCTCTTGCTTCCCTTGTGATTTCATTTTCTTCAACAACTTTTTCTGTCTTATTATTTCCTTTACTTTACATTTGTCTTCATTTACTGACAATTTTCTTTTCCGCATTCTTCTGAGTGGCAGTTCCCTGATTTAAAATAAAAAAAAGCCCACCTTTCATAATACTCTGCCAAACTATTAAGTATACTGTACCTTTCAATGCACAATGGCTTACTCTATTGAAGTGCATTTTCATTCTCACCTACTTGTCTGCTCTTGTGGCACAGCATATTAGGATATTGGAAAATAAAATATATCTGGCACTACAGTTTTGGAGATGAAAAATCACTTTAGAAATTAAGTTACGGTAATTGCTACATCAGATCTTTTTTAAGTATTTATAGGGAGAATTAAATTTAATTTTTTTTTTGTTGAGTTGTTTTGATGTTAAAAATATTTAACTAACTGGGATTCAGAATCTAATAATTTCTTATTTTTTTCCAATCAGTTCTTTCAAATTGTCTCTTTTAATTTTGTCATTAGATTGAACACCTTATCATAATATATATAATATATACAAAGTTCTTAACTAACCGTTTCTCAACTGTTGACAAAAGATATCTGCCTGATTCCTCTTCCACATTATTAACTCTGCACTTAATATACTGCCCAACATAATGAAGCAGTGTAGGCTTCTCTTTGATGACACCAAGCTCTCCTCCAGCTAACTTAACAAAGAGACAAATTCCAGTTTTGAAACTTGTTACCTGAGCTATAACATCTTCTCCTTCGGTGACTTGCACTTTCTCTCCTAAAGTTTAAAATATAAAAGCTTTTGTTAGACTAGATAAACTCAGGTGACTTTCATATTTTGAAGACGTGGAGGCATTATTTTAATATTTTACTGATGTTTTCAAATTGATTATAGTATTTTTTAAAACTTGCTTATAATTTTAATATTTTAAATTATATGTTATAGCTATCCTACCTCTTCATTGTTTGTTCAACAAAATAATTAACAATCTTATTTTAATGTGTCAAATATTTTGTTTATTATCAAAAAAAAGTTTAAGCATCATATACAAAGTACTACTTTGCTGATGTTTATGGGACAACATATTTTTTTTTTTTAAAAGTTAAAAAAATTGACTGCCAAAATTACCTATTAAAGAGAGCACAAGTTTATCATCACTTTCATGCTCTAGAACAGTTGCAAGGTAGCCGTTGCCAGTCTGGAAGTGAGTGTTGACATCATTGAGAACATTGGTATCATGAGACAGATGGAAAAAGTCAATGTAGCCTTGCTGATTTAAGCTGACTTGTACCCAAACTCTGTAGCTTGACACCTTGAAGAAATATTGATTGAAGTATTATTATTGGAAATTTGAATTTTTTGTATCACTCTACCCAATAAATTTAATAAGTAATGTTCATTTATCCTTGGCAGCTAAAATAAGATTTACAGCATTAGTTGTATTGCATTGCTATGAAAGATATTTCATTCTGTTTCCTCTTATGTTTATGCAAGAGTCGTGAATCAATTAATGTTTTTATTGCTAAACCTTATTAGTTACGACTAAACAATGGACATACCTTTATGACATAAACAAAAACTTTATCCCCCTCCTTAACATCAAGTTTTGGGATGAGGAGATCTGTGTTAGACTGGTTTAAAAGCTTGCTTGCTTTCAAGCTGCATTCAAGAAGTGTACGCTTGGATCCAGGATTTGTTAGTGGCAGGTAACTAAAATATATAATATGCATATTAAGTTCCATAGATTTGTAGTTCATAGCATATTTTTTAAATCCTAAGAAAGAAAATACATTGTGAGATGAAAAAATATGTAAAATTGTCCAGACCATGGTAACCTTCAACTAACCTTTGTTTCTTGACATCTCGAAGACCAATGATCTTTGCCTGCACAATTTGTTCAGGGTGAAACTTGTGTAATGGATTCTTTCCCTGCAATAATAATTAAATAGAACTTAACGATTAAAATAATTCTGAAAGTTATGCAGTACCAGGACTGAAAATTGTATTATTTATTTGATATTTACTGAGCCTTAAATCTTTCCCATGCCAGAAATGTAATATACATTGTTCAATTAAAATTATCCCCATTTGAAACTATATCTATTTTAAAGTATATGTCAATAAATTCTTTTCCTTATTAGATTAATTTGAAAAGTCTCAAATATTAATATGAGAAATTTTTACATACCTCCTCAACTTTATCTGACACTTCAGTGATATGGATACGCCCATGGAATTTGTTGGCTATAATGTTGATCTGTAGAGGATGAATGGCTCTGATTCTGAAATTAAAATTAACCATAGAAACTAGAAAAAAAAATAACGTATATTTAGAATCCTAATACTAATACTGGTAAAAAATAACCCATGTTGTCATAAATTAAATATTTTAAATGTCGGCTATCAAAACCCAAAATTCTATATGATTTTTAAAAAAAAAAAAGCTTTTAATTTTGAATTAAAAAACTCGCTCAACTCTTAAAATTTCTTAAATTATTCGTTTTTTTTAAAAAGACATTTCTATTAAATTTAAACTTAAGTTCATGATGTTAAATAAATTTGTAGCAGACCTGTTTACTCTTACGATTTTGGCATAAAATGTACGATTTGGAGGTGTATACAATATATATACTGTTATGTTTATTTTTTACTATAAATATAAGGTATTGAACAATTTTAAGATGATATGGTACATTTTAAGAGTTGAAGGGTAAACAGGACTGTTGTAGGGAAATGCATGATGATTCTATAAATTGATGTTTCTTAACATTTAAATTCCACACTTTACAGTTGTAAGAAACAACAAATTAGATATTATTTTTTATGTCTATTTTTTTTGGTGAGTAAAAAAAAACAACTATCAGGAATTTTTTCCATTATATCTATTCATTCAGAAACAAAATTAATTTTTGTATGTCAAAATATTTTAATATCATATGAAAATATAGAACATTTTGTAAAAAGTGGAAATAATTCTTTAAACATCAATTTACCACCCATCCAAAAAGTATTGAAAAGAGTAACAGCTATTCATTATTCTACATATTTATAAATATTTACACCAAAGAAAATATATAATATGTAGACAATTAAAACTTTATGGTACCAGTACTCAACAAGACATTTTCTGGCTTATTAAAACAAAGACAAGTCCCATATGTGCTACATTTGATTGTGGATTTTATTTTTGCATTCCCAATTTATAGTACACCTTAAAATATCATTTGGCATGTCTGTAGAGAATTATAAGTACTGTCTTGTATTTTGAAAATCAGTTGTTGTTTTTTCATCCACCTAAATGCTTCAATAAGTTCCTCAGTGAAATCAATTTAGAGGTAGAGGCTAGGCCACTTTATTTCATTTGTAAGGATTTTTTTGTTATCTTGTCCTGAAAGAAAATATAGGCCAGTACTTAAAAAAATTAAAACTTATGAACAAAAATTAAAGGGAGGAGATATGACGTGGATGAGAGATGCTGAAATTTTAAATATTCAAAAGTGGGAAAATAAGACAGTCTCTCTTATTATTAAATTAAAGACTTAGTAGGTCCCATGATCAGTCCAGAGGTTCTGGCCTCAACAGGGTGAGACTAGCAGAGCAAAGTGAAGGTGATCACATAGCCGAAGCTAAAGAACCTAACAGTCCCACCAAAAACAGAAATACTCCCTGAACATGGGGAACAAGCAACACAAAACCTGATCCCTAAGGGGTGGAAGCAAAATGTTCAGGATCTGAGCATTATGGCAAGTATAATGACTTACTTGCTGGGGCCATAAAAGAGCATTAGCTCGGCCCCTAAAACAGAATGTAATATCTCAGTAGGTCCCATGGTATATGCATAGTTATTAGTGTACTTTGAAAATGTTTCAACCAAATCCAAAGTAAAAAACAATTTGAAAAAGTCTTGAGGATGAAGAAACCGATGTATCCCTTGTTGACATTTCTACCCTAAGATATAAGCTTGACTTTCTGACTGGGAAATACTTAGGAATTAGAACTGGTGGGCCATCATATTAAACATCATATGAGTTTACCCTACAATGAAAAAAAACAAAAACTGATATTATAGACCTTTTTACTACTTTGGGTATGAAATGAATATAAAATATGCAACAGGTAAATTTTCAGTCTTTATGCAAAATTTCATGTTTTTTTAGAAGGAAACATAATAACTACATTGTTTACATTCATTAGCAGAGTTGCTTCTAATAACAACTTCACACATTATCAATGTAATAAAATATTCACAAATTATAAAAGGATTCTTTTTTGTAATTTCATTTAAAAATAGGTAGTGATTATTTCAATATGCTTAACAAAAAATTAAACCAATAAATTTATAAAACTATTATTTAAAATCAGGAAAATATAGAATGAAAAACAATTGAAAACTAACCCTCTAGTATTCACAACTTCAATGGGCATCAAAATCTGAATCATAATCATTTAATGTCGATTCCCAATTATCTTCCCAGAAAATTCAGATAGAAGTTGATCAACATTTTCATCAAAAACATTCATTTCTAAAGATTTTGAGCTGCCATGTTGACAAGCGTCTAACAAAAGTTTGTCTAAGATGGTGTGTCTTGCTCGGGTTGGTCATGAGTTTTCAAATTCTCATCACAGATCAAAATGTTTTATTTTTAAAATAATTTTTATATTTTTCTTCCAATTGTACGATTACGTCAAGAATAGGATACTTTTAAAAAAATTTAAAACACAAAAAATGCCTGCATATGGTATATAAAATTTTGTATATATATGAGAAATAGAAAGGACTAATGTGGACTTTTTATAACATTCCGTTTGTGGCAGAGTCCCTGAATTTGTTTTTTGTTCTTATATGGCTATATAAATAAAATGATCAATAAATAATCCTACTCCTACATGAATAGATTGATCTTGACCAAACTTAGTATACATACACTTGATTATCCATACTCAAATACTGAAGGGTACTGAACTCATACTATCCATTCCTCTGGGGTCCCATATTATTTTTCCTCATATAAGTTATATAAATATCAATAGTCTTAGACAACACTATAGGTTCTATGTGAATTGATGGATATAAAGCTTGGTGGCAATACCCTTCATAGTCTGTAGTGAAATATCAGTGGATTTAAAACTAATAATAATAATATCCAATCTATAATTTTCCAGAAAGTTTGATAATTTAAAAAGCTATATATGTGGCATTTTCAAAAAAAATTTAATGGGACAAATTAAAATTTTTAACTCCATAATTTATCTGACTGATTTTTATAGGGCTCCATTGGGAATTGGGATCCAGAGGGATAGGAATCCCATCAGGAAAGGGATCCTAATGGGATCAGGATTCAACAGGGATCAGGATTTAACAGGGATCAGGCTTCTATTGTAAAAATGTATCCCACTGGGATCGGGCTCCTATTGTAAAAATTGATCCTACCGGGATCGGATACCACTGGGATCGGAATTCTGACGGGATTGGGATTCAACTGGAATAAGGATCCAGAGGGATCGGGATCCCACCGGGATTGGGATCTAAACAGGATCAGGATTCCATAGGGGTCGGGATCCATAACGGGGTTGGAATCCTTCCTGTTACTGTGATACTATTGGAAAACTGGATGCTAATCGGGAAACTGGATCCAGTTGGGATCCTCCAGAATCGGGATCCGATTTGAGAATGAAAGGCCTACAAAAGTTATTTTAAATGTGTTTCTATAGGAGATGAAGTTGTTTTATTGTTACATGGTGCTAAGTTTCAATGTTTATTAAAAGGCTGTAGAAGTTGTTTTTTGGAATGCAATCCCAGGCAGCACCGGGTATATTGGCTAGTATGCTATAAAAACAATATTTCATAAATAACTTAAAAAATGTATAACACTGACATGGTTAACTTGCTAAGCAATAAGATAATTTAAAAAACCAATCTAGATATGTAAATTCAAATTTCAATACAAGGACACCTTGCCTTTTAAGGTATCAGCGGTAAACAGATAGCAGTCAAAGTTGAGCAACTCTAGTGTCATTTGTAATATTTTTTTAATTGCAGCTACCTTTTTAACTAAATAGAAAAGCCAATCCTTTATTTCTCCTCCTTTAGAAATAGATGTATTTTAATAACCATTTGATGATTATATTTATCTTTTCAAAAATACCATTAACTTACTTGGCTTCAACCACCATGCCTGGTGCCATGTCATGTTTGGCTAATGTTTTAAAATTAATTCTTTCTGCCCTCTCTTTTTCTGCAACTTCTGGATCATGAACTTTGAGTACTGCCAGTTGAAATTCATCAAATGAACTGAAAGAAAAAAATAGGAGATTGTTTTATAATAATCATATAAATTAAAGGACTGCATTCAAGCCTAGTAAATGAATAAAATACCTCCTGTTCTCCTATTCAAGCTTCCACACATCTCGTTTTGCTATTTTATTCATTTATAATAATCAGCATTTTAAAATAAATCATATATTTAAATTCTGATGAATTGGGCTAAAAAATAAATGGAAACAAAATGTAAAAATTTATAATGAATAATAATTATATCATTTTTTCAATGTGTTATACAAGTGTTTTTTACTAACTTACAAAGAACTTACTAGAACCTTGCCATAAATTCTTGTTTGAAATAAACTTACTTTTGTGAATGATTATATTATTTTTGAAATGTGTTCTACAAGTTTTTTTTAATAACTTACAAAGTTACTAGAACTTTTGTCATAAATTCTTGTTTGAAATAAACTTACTTTTTAATGACAACATCTGCAAAAGTTCCTAATTTGTAGGGCTTGTTCACATCCACATCATTCATATGCTGAAAGAATACCAATGTAATGGAAGTGTTAAAAACATTAAACAATTATTCAGACAATGAAAAGTTGTTTTTAATTGTATTCCGCTCGTTTCTGTCTTTCATGGGTAGTTCTTTTACATTTTTGTCTAGAAAAGTGAGAATGCAAATTATATTCCAAAGAAATAAAATTAATTCAAATTATTTTTTGCTACAACCAGTCAATAGTTTTATAAAAATTGATGTTTTTAAATAAACTTCTTTAATTAAATATGGAAAACTTTAATTATTCATAATTCTAATCTTTTTAATCTCTCTTCCACAAACCTGTTTAATAGGAACATAGACAAATTTTCCAGAGCCATGACCTCGCAAGGACATCAACATGAACTCCGGTTTGACTAACAGTGTGTCAGCCTTCAAAATTTGGTCCATTTTAAGCTGAAATATTATAGGACAAAATGTGTTGTTATAATTACACAACATGATTGTTATAGACAAGGTCATGTTTTCAATATTGTAACTACTGGTATTGTCTAAATTAATTTAATACGAAATACCTGTAAGTATATTCACCTGTGATTTTGAATTTTCTTTTCGTGTAGCAACACATTTAACAACTTTTGGTTCCAAGGTCAGTTCAACACAGGGTGTTAAAGGATCAATGAAAAGTATAACAGCATGGTATTTGGAGCCAACTTTAGGATCAATGCCTTAAAAATTTAATTAAAAAAAAGAAGTAATTAACTAAAGGTAGAGAACAAAATGTAATTCTTGTATGATTACTGAATTTATATTAGCAAAATCTGAATCTGGTTATTTTAAATTTAGCTTGAGTTATATTACCTTTAGTTTTGACACTTAGGAGTATTTTAATAAAAGTTTTAATAAATGTTTAGCACAATTAGCTAAATTCACAACTAAAATACTAATAGCACTTACCACCATAATGATATTTTGTTGCTAATGCCTTGGCACCAGATTCTAAATCCCCAAGAATTCCTTTCTTGAGCACAGAAGAAATTGTAACTTCCACTATATCTCCTACTTTTAGTTTTGAATATAAAGACAACTTCCCTGTAAAAAAAAATTTTAAATTGCCATTTAGAAATGAAAAACAGTGGGTTTAAAATTATGCTTTTTTTTTTTTACATTGTAGAATAATCATTTAATTGGACATCGATACTTTAATAAACCAAAATTCTGTTTCTTCCTACCATTGTATTTTCAATATTTGGTATACAAAATCACTCACTCCTTTAGGCATAAACAAAAAAACAACACCTACACTAATATTTTAATATCTTGATCTGCCCATAAAACTGTTACATAAGTGCACCATGATAAATCATTACCAAATGATTTTGTTTGACGATGTGATGTCAGAATCAATGAATCCAAAGGGAAAAGTTGATTTTGCTAAACCATGTTAATCCCCCTTTTCAGCCAAGTTAAAACTTTAACTATAGTGCTCCTGAGCTGAGACAAATACATTGTTTCTCTTACTTATACCCCCTAAATCACATTTTAAGTAGCAAAAACATATTTTAGTTTGAACCATTAATTTTGCTTTATCACTATACTAAATGAGTTAGCTGCAGTTTCCATCAACTGATGCAGAGCTCAAAAGTAAAAGATAATGAAAATTACTTTTAAAATATTTGATAGCTAGGAGGTCTTAATTTGGTATGTGCGTGTGTGTGTGGTCTCCTATAGAGATTGTGGACAGTTTATTTTTATAATTTTTTAGGAACACGTAAGCATAGAGGAGATTCATATATTGTTTTTTTTATGAGGAGGTGGGCTCTCTGCAGAATGTGTACATGTATTTATGCACACATTTTGCAATAGTTATCCTAAAATTCTGACTGTCCACAAATGGGCCATTAATGACTAATAAAGACAAATGTCTCCTAAAAATCTGTAACATCCATGATTTCTAATAATCAAAAATAAATTATAATAGCTTCACAGCAATTTTGTGTATTTATCATTTAACTGATGTCGCGATAGTAATATTTAATCTAGTGACAACTTTAAGTCTAACTTTCGCCTTGGTATGTCTTCCTCTCTTCTTCTTTATTTTGAGAGCCCACGATCAATGAATTGATCATTCTGGCTCCTATGATTCAGAGGGGTTCACGATGTTACTGTGCATGATTTTGAAGGGGATACATCACTGGTTGCAAGGGCTACTCAGCAATGGTATTATGAACTGGGGGTTGGAAGACAGGCGGCAATAGACGCAAATGTGTCAAGTGTAGCCGCCTCAACTGTTGCTTTTGGGAGCTTGTTCCAGTCCCGTATTATCTTTGGCGGGAATGAGGAGCTCCTGTACTGAGTTCTTGTTTTTATTAGCCGGAACTGCCTGTCATGGCCTCGTCACTGTCTAGGGGGGAGATGGGCGAGTTTCTGTTTAATGTCGGAGCTGTAATTGATGTAATCTGTGACGTAATTATTTTGTTCAGGTGGACCAAAGTTAATATTCGCTATGTCACACTGACAGCTATGGCCAAAAGGGGAGAAATATATAATATGCTTTTAAAATTTTTTAGTGACTTCGTTGAATTTCCTTATATGTCATAATGGCCTATAAGTAAATTGAAAGAAATAGAGTAACAAGGTATGTGGTAGCTTGAAATATAAAGATAGGAGAAAATAAAGGAGAACATTTCAGATAAGTGCCTTTTCAGCAGACAGGACTAAACATGAAACACAAGAAATAGAAAACAGTTAAAAAACCGAAGTGTTTGGAGTCAGCCATGTATGCTATGTTATTGCCGGAAGTTGGGTTTTCCAAAACGGAAATATGTCCAACAGCTTACAGGAAGTAAAAGAAAGTATGTATCTTTACAGTGAAAAATAAGATTTTAACAGACAGATATATATTGGAAGTATTTGAAATATAAGAAATAAGTATATGAATATACGGAAATTGAGGATCACTGGTATGAGAGCAATTGATTGATTCCATATCATGATAGTGTGCAGAAAATCTGATTTGTTTTATTTCCAAACTCTTGCTGGTGTGTTAGTAGAGTAAATCATTGTTGTGATGGAAACAGCTGATGTGCCTTTGTGTTTATTTCCATTGAAATGGGATGAGACCAGGGAAAGTTTGCCCTGTTTGATAGGTACCTAGATTTTGTCCCGCCTGTAGACAATAAGCGGAGGGGACGAAAACACCCTGTTGTGTCAGGGACTTCTTCCACTCCAGATCTTATCCTGAAACTACTCTTGTCTCTGCGCTCAATCCTATCAGTACTATCATATGGAATGTTTTCAAAACCTGCCAAACCAAAAATAAAAATGGAACTAAACTCGTTCTAACCTACCACTCTCACAATGTGATCGCTAAAAAAATATTCCTAAAGAATCGACACATACTTCTTGCTGACCCCGACACCAACAGGGTATTTTTTTTTTAAAATCATATTTTCATATTAAGTGAACAGAATGAATAAAAATAATAAAAATTTAGGCAGGTCTGTATGTTGTATGGCATAAAAGCATGAAATCTCATTAGCCAAATTTCATGGGTTAATCTGACGCAGTATTAAAATTTATCAGCCCTTTGTTAATGCTTTTTTTTTTATTTACTGTGACTTTATGTTACTAACTTTCCAGACGTAGCGTGATTTATAAAATAAAGGTTATTACATTTTTAAAATACCTACCACTTTCAGAAAATAAAATATCCAGGGTCTCTTGGCGGGCAAGAAGGTAGCTTTTGAGCATATGTAGTGAAGTGCCAACTCCTCCTTCAAAGCATTCATCCAAGCGAATACTGCCAAGGAATCGTTTCTTCTCTGAGTCAATTTTATTAAGTCGAGCTATAACTGACTGACCCGGCTGGAAAAGTTCTTGTAAATTGGATGGTTGAAGGTAAGATAAGGTCTGAAAAAAAAAGAATTAAAAAAAGAAAATTAATCAGCATATCAAGTTAAATTAGTCTAATCATTTTTGACAGTTGTAAATAAATGTCCCTTGAGGTCTAGCAGAATGCGACTAAATGCTTCCTAACACATCTCTCTCAATTGCTATTTCACAGAACAGACCAGGGGTGCCACTCACTGAAAGCTGTGAACCCTGAATCCCTTTCTAAAAATTTCTTGAAACCTGAAACTTCATTTACAAATTTTTCAAACCCTGAAACTTAACAAAACTCAAAATTCCTGACTATTGCAATGCAGCGTTTTTTTTGATTAATATAAAAACAAGCATGAAATAGCCAAAGCAAAAACAAAATTGAAATGCATCACAAATGGGCAAAATTAAGCAATTACGGTGTACACATGTAAAATTAAATTTCCTAGCAATTGCAATTTTTCAATTTACTTAGACTTGAAAAGTCAACTTTTGCAATGTGCTCTCAGGGCATTTTAGAACATACGTATAGCTACCACAAGTGGAAAGCATCCTTTCTTATAAAAATATATAAAATGGATAGTTTGCGTCAACACACTTTAGCCTCTATAAAATCTCCCAAGTGAGGGTTTTCATATTTTGACACACAAATTGGGAGCTTGACTCAACGGACACAATAAAATCAGGTGGCTTCTGCAAAATATGATTTTACACAATTTCACTGAGCAAACTTGAAGTAGAAGTTTTTGTCTTGTTTAAAGTTTAATCTATCAGCTATAAGTAGTGTTTGTCTTACTTCTATCAATTGTCTAGACCAACAATCAAGTAATTTTTTCATTGCTCATTTTCTTGGCAATTAACATTGCATTTTTCTTAGGGGTCGTTAGTAAATTACATCACGCTAAATGTGACCTTTTTAGACACCCCCCCCCCCCCACGTAGTGTCACAAATTCTTTAGTGACACTTTTTTCCCATGATGGATTAAGATGTAGTATTATTAGAAAACTGAGTCTCATAGTACCTATAAACCAGAGGCAATTTCAACCTTATATTAATGTTTTTAAAATTAATTAAATAAAGATTTTTTCAAAATTAGAAAATTAAAATTTTCTTTTGTTTAAAAAACGTGAAGTCTCAAATTTATTTTGTCTGAGTCTCTCCCATTTACATAACACTATCTCTCTCATCGTCGCTACCATAAATTATTATTCCCCCCCCCCCCCCTCGAGCGTTACGTAATTTGCAAACGAACCCTTAGCCATGATCAGTTTTTGGATACATTTAGCTTTAATTTGTTATAATTAACAAATATTTAAGAGCTTAAAATATTTTTCTTTCTACTGTTCTATGTTTAGCATCAAACAAGGAGGCCCCATGTGGAAATGGTTCACTTGCTGCAGCAGACAATTATTTAATAAAATGTTGTTTTTTTTCATATACCTTGGCTGGACATAGTCCTATATGTCCATTGGCCAGCTCAAGAAACATGCCAAAGTCTTGGTGGTTTTTTATAACAGCTGGTACAAGCATACCACTCTGAAAAATTTCCATTTTAACTGAATCATAAAAACAATTAAAATTGCATATCAATGATACCAATAAAGTGATCTATTATCTATTTCAGTGAATCACTGATAATCTTTTTGAAATTATTTTTAAAAACTCACAAACAGGCCAATTAATTCAAACAAGGCTATTTATAATATTCCTTAATTTACAATGTTAAATACCCGGTATTGTAACAAATTTAAACTAGCTGTAGTTTGGAAAGTCAGATTTCCATTTGGGTAAACTCATAAAAGGCAAGGATAAAGGTCTCACATGTTTATAAAACTTTTTAAATAAACACAATTTAGCTGCCCATTATAAAGTAAAATTACCTTCAGGTCTTCAAACTGGCCTATCAATGTATTTTCTTCAGCCGCTTGAATGAATGACTCCTTCATTGTCATAAACTGTGTTATTATTAAGTTTTTAATTTTTAGAACAGTATCAGGTTAAAAATAAATTAAAGGCCAAAAATGAAACCAAATGATTTTTATGGGTTTCATTTGATTCAATTACCGCAAAGAGCTTTGTGCCTGCAAAGAGTTGACTAGGGATCAAAGTGCCCCATGAAGCAATTTGAGTTGGCCACCACTGTCTTAAAGAAAAATTATAAACCTTTTCTCCATTTATATTGTTTAAAAAAAAAGAAAACCTATACATAGTAAATTGATTAGCAAAATTAGAAGCAAGTAAATGAAATTATTTTAGTTTACACTTGTAAGATCGAAATGCCCAGTTGTTTTTATTACTCTTACATGCCCATTTGTAACAGTTAAACTATATATAACTTAAAAGAGCCAATCTCTGGAGTCTGTTTTTACTCACAAATAAATAAATTTAGATTTTGGGTGCAAAATAAAGACCCCTAATGACCTGTGCTCTGAATAAAATTCTTGAGAGAAAATTATCAAAAAATTTGCATTGCAAGCTTACAAATAGCAAACCACACCAACCATGGATTGTATTAAGGACAAAATCAAAGTGTGCAGTATGAATATTCAACAGGTCTCAAACTTTGTTGCTGATCGCTAACTGTACCTCCCAGTAATATAGGCAGAAAAAAAAAAAATGAACCTGACCACTTGGGAATATGATACTACTGTATTTGATACTGAAGTCGCTTGGCCCCAGCAAGCTGAAATTTGCAACATTAGCATCAAATATGAAAAATAGGCACACACAAAATTATACCCTAAAATTAGTAATATTCCTAGCTTACACAAATTTTTGTTCACAAAAAGGCACATGTACCTAGGTTAAAAATAAATGGATTAAATATTTCCACCAGCTTAATAAAAATAATTTTTCCTTTTCTCTTTTGTATTATAACATCCTACATAAATGTATAAAGGATACAATTCTTTGTTTGTGATTAAAGAATGTGAGCTTTTTCAGTTGATGTCCTGGTTTGAATGCTAGCTTTTTCAACTCCTGCACTTCATGAAAATCTGACAAGTGTAGAAAAGGAAGATGGGCTGCCTGCTTATTGTTCAGCAAAATTCTGTAGCCATTACTTTCCACATTCAGTATTTTGGCCGCAACAAGCTGAAATATTAATAGAATTTTTTTTTCTTAAATATTTAGAAATGCAGCAATTATTTTACTTTAAAATGTAAATGTTCCACAACAGACACAATTTTACCTTTCCAAAGAGATGTAAATTAGATGTATCATCTTTTAATAGGACTTGCTTTTCTGCTATTATTATCCTTTCCCCAAACTGAAATAAATGAAACAGTAGGTAATCACAGGTACCGGTATCAAAATTTTTTAAATCTCATATGCGTGTATTTGGTCTTCAATGTTCTGCTTAAAAAGCAATTTTTAAAACGCAGATAAAAGTGGTATCACTTTTTTTAGAATTTTGCTTTAAGAGAAGCAGAATAAAGAATTGAATAAATTGGTGCGCAAATGGATACAGTCACTTTCATAAGAAAATTTAAATTTGGATATTACTTTTTTTTGCCTTGAGATGAGTAGTTTAGAGCATTTATGAGATTGTTTTACAAATGACTTTATCTGAAACCAATTTTTTTCCCAAAATCAATTTTTATTAATAATCATCTTCTTAATACAATTAAATCTTAGAAAATATTACATTTTGTCCTAACTCTCAATGAAAGGGTTTTTTTTACACTTACATTAAAAGACAGCTTTAGCTTCTTATCCTGTATATTAAAATAGACAACTCTACATCTGATGACTTGTCCTTTATAAAACATGCTGGATGGATCTTCAACCTCTTCTGTACTCATGTCTTTAGGTGTGACATAACCCTAATAAAATGTTGAAATTTATTTACAAATATTTGAATATACATTATACAACTTCAAATAATTCAAATTAATTTTTTTTAAGAATGAGATAATTTACATAAAGAGAGAATGCAAATAGACCATTCCTTTCAGAACTCTTTTTTTAAGATGAAAGGTTTAATGCAGTGCTTTTGAAACTTTTCATAATGGGTACACTTTTTAAAAAATAAGAATTTGGGGACACAGCAATTGTGTTTACTAGGAAACAGGTGGAATGGGGATAGACTAAACTCCTTTCTAAGAGATGCAGATACATACACCTTATTTGTAAAAACAAAATGTATTTTGAAAAAATTTATCTCATTAACATCTGTTATTTTTTTTGTTTAAATTAATCATTAGAGTGATAACAATATACATTTCAAACAAATATGATTATCTTTTATAAGCATGCAAAGAATATACAATGTCATTTTTTTAATGCAAGCAAGCTGGTATTTCTTATTTCCCATGAATTCACGGGTTTCTAGATCCATTGCACAACACATTAAATGTATCAATTTTTGTTGAAATATGATTAATAGAATTTTTAAAAAAGCACTGTAGCCGACACACTAATATAATGTATCACTACAAACAGTTTGGAAAGCTCTGGTTTAATGATACATTTAAAATTTAATATTATTTTAATGAGACTGTTAAAATTTTTAAAAATTATTTTGTTAAAAGAAAATATATGATTTACTATGGTCGAAATGAATACTACTTATTTCAAATTATACTTTTGTCATTTTTATAAGATAAATTTATTAAAAATCAATTCTTTACACTAACCTTTACATCATTATAAAATGATACCACAACTACATTCTCTTTAACTGCTATAATATAGCCTTCCAACTCCATATGAGGCCTTATCTGGTTGTAGTCTGACAGAATAGGATATTTAGTTTTCACAATAGAACGCTTGTGAGTGAGTAATACTTTAGTCTTCTTCAGGTCAACTTTTAAAACCTGCACATAAGTAAATAAAATAGTTAATAAAAAATACTCCACATCCAGACCTGTCAACCTGCCCAGAAAAAAAATCTGTAGGGGGGTACACTCAGGAGAGAACGAGGGCGTTGTTTAAGATCTACATACTAATGCACAAGCCTTTTTTTTTGTAAATAAAGAAATAGAAAGTTACCTCCATTGTCTTTGAAGAGTTCACAGAACATGAGAAAAACATTACTAGGCAATGTTTATATACAGATTTATACAGTATACAGAACAGAATATACATTTTATTACATATGTACACAGGCTGCCAAGAGTCCAAGAGTTCAATTTTCCAGCATATCCCAATGGCCTTTCTGCACTTGTCCAACAGCTCTTTCGGCAACTTAAGGTTAGCATTGCAATTGAATTTAGTTACAAACAAGTTAGAAAGAGTATCAACTTTCATGCTTGACCTTGTTTCATTGTAATTTTCCTTCACAATCTTCTATCAAACTCTATTAAAAAGTAAAAAAAAAAAAAGAGACCCTGTACGCTTATACAATTTTTTTGCAGTAACAGGACATAAATGGACTTATATAGTACCGGTACTTACTCTAAGGACTGCCAATGCTATAGCAATTATTTGATTTAGGTATGTACTGGTATAGATACTTTGGCCCCGCCATCTTGTGGTTTTTTTTTTCTTTAGCCGGAAGTTATCACAGCTGCATGATGGTATGATGGCCTGAGTGCAGGACAACGGTCAATCATCTCAAGCATTCCCCGTCACAAACGGTGTAAAGCAGGGTTGTGTTCTTGCTCCCACACTCTTCAGTATTATGTATTCCGCAATGCTGTCTGAGGCGTTTAAGGACTCCACCACGGGCTTGCCAATCCGGTTTCGTACTGATGGATCAGTATTTAACCTTAGGAGGCTTCAAGCTAAAACCAAGGTCAAACATACCACGATCAAGGAGCTTCTGTTTGCAGACGATTGTGCTCTCAACGCTCCATCAGAAGCCGTCATGCAACACAGCATTGATATCTTCTCTGAGGCCTGCAATAACTTTGGCCTCACAATCAACACAAAGAAGACTGAGGTGATGTATCAGCCAGCTCCCAGTAAGCCCTACGTTGAACCCAACATCATCATCAGTGCACAGCGTCTGAACCCGGTGGATAAATTTGCTTACTTGGGCAGCACCCTCTCTAGATCTGTCGTCATGGATGATGTAATGAATGGCAGACTCGCAAAAGCTAGTGCCCTATTTAACAGGCTCCGCAGCACTGTTTGGGACAGGAGAGGTATCAGACGAGAAACAAAGCTCAAGGTCTATAGCGCAGCAGTCCTCCCGACACTGCTCTATGGATGTGAAACGTGGACAGTCTATCAGCGTCACGCCAAGAAACTGAATCATTTTCACACTACCTGCCTCAGGAAACTCCTCGATATCAGGTGGCAAGACAAAGTCCCCGACACCGAGGTCCTCGCTAGAGCGAACCTACCTAGTATCTTCACCACTCTGATGCAGTCTCAGCTCCGTTGGATGGGACACGTAGCCCGTATGGCAGACCACCGGCTCCCGAAACAATTATTCTTCGGAGAACTCACTATAGGCAAGCGCTCCCAAGGAGGCCAAAAAAAGCGTTACAAAGACTCACTGAAAGTGGCACTAAAGGCCTTCAGCATAAACCCTACTCAATGGGTGCAGACAGCCCAGGACAGAGCCAGGTGGAGAGCTGCTATCAAGAAGGGGGCTAAATCCCATGAAGCTAATAGAATAACCACAGCTGAGACACGCAGGCTTGTCTGAAAGAGCAACATTAAGTCACCGTCTGAAGCAACTATTCCATGCCCACGGTGTCATAGATTATTCCGAGCAATGATCGGTCTTGCAAGCCACCTACGAGCTCACCGTAATCCCAACCCCCGCACGTAACCGGGTGATTCGATGGTCCTGGTCGACTTCGGCGGACGAACAACCAACCAACCAACTTTGGCCCCAAGTTCACACACAATTGAGTAACTTGGTTTTTATAAGAATAAGATAGACTTATGTTGGATAACAAACAGCTAATAAAGTTATAAAATAATTCATTTCAATCACAAGTAAGTCATATTTATTTCCGAAGATACACATAGCCTGGGAGCTTGACTAAGAAGTTGCAAAAGTGGACACCCGAGGTAGGTGAAAAAACTGAAGTTGAACTAGAGGAAGTCTCAGATGATTGATGTTTATTAATCATTTTCCCCTAATTTTCATGGCATCCGAGAACGGTCTGCAAATATAATTGATATCAATATTTTCATTAATTTTGTTTTTCCTGTACACATGAAGATCCCTAAGACTTAGCAGTAGCCTTGACGTGAGGTGTATTTTGTTGAAATTTAGGAAGAGTTGCTCATTTTGTCAGAACCACTCTCATCCTTGCCTATTTGATTCAATGGTAAGATTAGTTAAGACGGCTGGATATAGACAAGGATGCAGTAGATTAACAGCAGTGAGTGTGTGTGTTTCAGTATGCTCTTTATGCTTTCTACGTCATAGGAGTTTTTCTGAATTTTCATTGTGTTAATGTCTTAACTTCATCACCGGGTTTGATTTCATAGTTCCCTTCTCTAAGTTGAGTTGCCATTCAAGGTTAACAAGTGCCATCTTCCCAGCATCCTGGTGATGTTTTTGCTTGTCAAGGAATTTTCTGGGGATAGAACTCCGGTCCACTAGCTTGGGATTCACTCAGTTCAGAGTCAATTTCTAGTATAGAGTAGCAGTGATGGCTTGTTCAATCAGGATTGCTACCTTAATCATCAGTCCTCAAAGGAACTGTTGGGCATTATTTTATTTACCCAGAACTTCAATAGTGAAATAAAATAGAATTCATTTATCATCATATTAGTTTTATAATATTGACCATATTATAACTTATACTGGTACTATTAATAATAATATAGAGGCAGAAGAGAAACTAAGATGGGCATATGCCTATGTAATGGCTTAGTCTGGATTTTAAACAGGGGAATGGGTCAGCGACCAAGCAACCACTCTCTTTTAAATCTCTAAGTTCCCCCCCCCCCCCCACACACCTGTGCTTATAAACTTATAATACTGCAAAGTATACCAAGAGCACAGGGGTGAATCACTTAATTTTTAACTAACTACCTGTGTATAAATAAGGACTAACTATCTTAAAGTTATGTGAGGCTCAATGGATGCATCAGCTAGTTCTAAAAACTTTTAAAAGAAGTTCAGAAGTCATTGTAAACTATGCTACGCCACGCAAAAATAACATATTTAATTTTTTTATTTAGTATGTTCCTATTTTGAAGGCCTAACTAATCTTAACTTACAAAAAGGCCTAACACTATAAACTATGTTTAAAAGAATATGTGTCAATATTATTGTTATAGATAAAGGCCTTTTGTTAATATTTATAAATCAAAATCAAATTCTTCTTCTTTGCTAGCTTCAACAGCCGCAAGCATTTATAACATCATACTGGCGAGAAGGCCGTAAAATTTGTCAAAACTGATACGTTTCAAACACGTGTTAAAGACATAAAAAGTTAAGATAATTCGTCAGATAAAGACTTAAACGTTATTCACGTATAAATTGCATTCCTTTAACTAACACTACTATATAAGTAAGTTCATTTTTGTTTTTGAAAATTTCGGGAAAAGACCCCAAAACTAAAACTACACAAAAACTACGAAAACTTCAACTTTAAAAAAAAATTAGACTAAGCTTAGTCAAATTATACAGCGATCGGGCGCGTAGTTTTCTATTCAATATAGTTACCTGAATATTAAAATAACTACATATAAATATCTATTTAATGTATTTCACACTATACTTACCCAAAAAATTCGTTGAACAACGAACTGAACAGAACGAAAAAAATTCTGGTCTATCAAAGCATTAAAGTATGACATTTCATATCCGAAACTGGTAAAGCGTATGCGCAGTTAAGGGGAAACCATTAGAATTATTGTGGCAAACTTTTTTGATAACAGAATGGCTAAAAATAGACTACGAATTGAATATACTTGTAATAAAATTATAAAATAACTATCGCGACCAAGACTTTTTTACCCCTCCCTCTATGGAAACAAAAATTGCAGGACATTTAAGGAAAATTTTTAAGAATTTAAGGAGTTTTCCAGGATTTTATCTTTTTTTTTTTCAAATTCCAGGAGACTTCATCCTGGAATGTCAGGAGGCCTCGGGAACCCTGATTATATATACCAGGCCTCGGGAACTCCTAAAATCGTACAATATCGTCTCAAAATCGTACAATACAGTGTCTTAATAGTAAATACATAAATATACAGTATATATAATATATAATGTATACAGCATCTACTGGTATAGCGTGTTCAGTGGCATCCAGTTCAGCGGTTTGTTAAAAAATGGAACTGTAAGGTAATCAGTATTCGACTGACGTTAACTGCAAACTGAGGTCACTTCATTTTGAAGACCTGCATCTGCTGTAGATACCTCCATGTTTGTTACCGCCATAAACGATATATTTATTTTTATCCCACCCTTTATTTTATTTGTGTATTCCCTATTTCGAAGTGTACTTGTAAGAATTTCATCCAGGAAACCCTGGCGAAAACCTAATATGACATATGCGCCGGGAAACAAAATTATAAGAACCACTGGCGTAGCCCAACGAAATATGCGTCACACGCGCGCTGAACACTCATGACTAAACACAACTGTAACTTCTCTACTACTGCTAACGAGTTTATTGGTGAAAATACATCTTGACAACATCACCGCAATAATTCCTACAAAACATCGGGTGGTATTTTACAGCATTCGAGATATAAATAGAATGCTATTTTTGGACTTTCAGAGTTAGGAGATGAATATTGTAGATTTTTTAAATAACGTACGTTCTTTCTGCCGAGGAGCAGGCCCCCCCCCCCAACCTGTCATTACGGAAATGTCGCGGTGTTGATTGTATAGATTTAAGTATTTAGACCCACGCCAAACCCAAAATTTCCTAAATCAACACCACTCCTTTTGTCCCTGATAGATTGTTCATGAAAAGTCCGACTTGCAGATTGTGTAATTGTGCAGTGCGCGCATGATGGACCATTCGACGAAGAACGCAACCCAGTCAATTTAGTCTGATATTCAAGCAAGACTATCTGCTGATAAACTTTCTTTTTCTGTTGTTGAATCGGATGTTTATCGGTAGAAAGAGAAGTTTCTTCTTCATCGCCCATTCCGCGAGCCTTTCTTTTTGTCGAGGTCATATCGTAAAATACTAAGTGAGGTCAACTACGGAACCGAAAACAAGAATGATTGCCGATTCCATTAATGATAATGGTAACATTAAAATCACGCAATGTGCACATAGGTCAATGCAGCCAAATTCTAGCGCCAGAGCTGTTTGGACAGCCCATATATAACATTTCAAATAAAAATGAAAAAGTTAACAATGATTCCTAGCTCGCCCCCAGCTGCACGCCTTGCCAACTTAAAGGGCCATCCAAATATGACTTACTCGCTGAGGATGCGTATGAGTTTTGATTGGGTTGGGGGGGGGGGGGCACCAGAATGCACCTACATGTAGGCATAAATTCTACAATAATTATCCTGATTCCTGACAGTCTCTTATAGAGCCAACTGTCACATGAAAATCTGAAATCCACGAATTCTAATTAGGTCTATTATTATTATTATTATTATTAAGGCTATACAAATATCACCACAATGCTTCGCATTTATCGTATACCGTATACTAGTGCTTTGTGTTTTCATAAAGAGGTCGCTGTAGTAGTCATATTAAACACGACATAGTGACAACACACTAGTCCACTAACACGTATTTCCGTGCTGGTGACGAACCCACCTTCCCCCACCCTCATTAATAGGAAAAACATAGTGCCCTCGCCTATCCAATATGCCCCTGAGTTTTTACGTTCACATACTAAAGAGCAGTGGTCAGCATACTCATTGGTCAAAAGAGCCCAAATCAGCAGCAGGACCATTAAACAAATTTTGCGAGCCAAATTTATTTTGAAGAACCTGTCAAGGACCATGTTTTACGGATTAAAAACCGCTTTGTAGTTGACTGGCCGAGCCGCAGTCTGGACGAGCCGCGGCTTGCCGACCACTGCTATAGTATCAGAGACTAGTAACTACCACAAGCTGTAAACAAAAATGGGGGGGGGGTAGCAGTAGTGATACAAAACTGTTTTATTGTATTAAAATTAAAATCGTTGAGGGGATAGAGTCAGAGGCGTAGCGAGGGTGTTTGGCGCCCGGGGACAAGATCCATTTTAAAGTGCCCCTTTTTCTTTTTTTCAACTCTCAAGCCCATTATTTTCATCAATAAAATAATATCAAAGCACATTTTGGCGCCCCTAAACAGGGTTTCTTTCAGCTATATCTCTGGGAGGGGGGGGAGTGCCCCTCCCCCGGGGAAAGCCAAGTGCCCCCAGGAGCAAAAATATGTCCAACAATAAATCAACTGGAACTGCTGGCACTGCCCCCCCCCCCAACCCCCGAAAAATCTGAAGTAACCCTTCCCCGAAAATCTGAAGTGCTCCCCCCTGGGGAAAATTTCTGAAAGAAACATGCCCCCTAACTAGCTGGCGCCCGGGGAATCTGTCCCCTCCTGCCCCCGCTCGCTACGCCTCTGGATAGAGCTGCTTTGCGAGATCTAAAATATTTTTTTTAATGCCACTGACTAAATCTCACACCTCTAGTTTTCTCTCTTCACAATCCCCGCGGTTCAGGCGAACACACGCTTGCTAGCAGTAGCAGTCCAATGAGGTGGTGAGTGAAGTTGTTGCCAGGCGACTAGCCTAAAGATTGCTGCTGACACAGCTAGCTGGTTCACTGTGACACGCAAAGCAACACTAAGACCAACACCACCATCAATAGGATGCATGGCGGTGATATTTTTATATCTTTTGAAACTCCCACCCAACCCCCCCCCCCAAACCCGTGTTTCTGGTATGCCACCAATCTCTTTAATCAACAACCGCCACCTCCCCTTTCAGTGCGTACGTAATATAATGAAGGATGGTCCCAACTATAAAAAAATATACAAAAGCCATCGTTTTTCTGGGTCCATTGAATGTGGGGCCAAAAGGGCTAAAGCTTCCACAACCAAAAATTTTTACTTTTTTTTTAAATCGGACAAAATTACACAAATATTTTTTCACCGGGTCTCTGAAAATCATAGTTTTGGGGGGTCTCGGCGTACAATCGTAAAAGAAATCTAAAAATCGTACATTGTACGCCAAAATCGTAAGAGTAAACAGGTCTGTAGTATTTCTTTTGTAGAATTGAACATATTTCTTTTTCATGTAAATGCCCAGACTATCATTAATTTGTTGAAATGACATACTGTAAACTTTGATAGACTGTTAGCAGTCACTTTACAAGGTTGACTGACAAATATCTCGCGCATAATACCTAGCACAACTTGGTTGAATATATAATAGCTGGACGAATATCTCGAGACCTTATTCACTTTCATAAAAGCAAATGCAACACTTCCTGTCAACCAATTTTTAAAAAAATTTTGTGTTGCTTTCCGATTTTTATGACGGGTGAAAAATTATAATGTTCGGAAAATCTGAATTTTAAGGGGTTTGTCGGAAGATTGGAATAAGGGGTAAAAAATCTGTATAATTCTGACCAAATCGGAAGGGTTGGCAGGTCTGCACATCTATCAAACATTTGTTTTTTAATAACAGGAGAATTTTTCATACAGGTTATGAATGTACTTACTCGACATTTTAATTTCATGCCACGCTCAAATTTTTTCTCTGGGTGTTTAATTGGCACATCCGCAAGATGAAGGCAGGGTATGAAAGAAAATATCCCCTTAGATATTTTCACAACGATGCCATTCTGATGAACATCTTTCACAATTGCCTAAAAATATTCAATAAAAAATTAATATTAGATCATGACTTCCAAAACTATTTAAATACAAATAAATGATACAACAGTAATTTTGCTTAAGACTGTTCACTGTAAAATTTACTAAAGCTTTTACTTTTTCTTTTAAATATGCCACACATTTGTCACATGTCATAATTTATGAATTTTCCATTATTTTTAAAAACTTTTTGCCCTTTATAAAAGATTTTTCTGAACCTACCTCAACCACCTCACCAACTGAGATGTCTTCAATCCTAAGAAATTTCTGTTGTAGTATACTCCTATGAAAGCAAGTGTTATTATGTAATTGTGCGTATCTATGTATGTATCAAATCATTTGATCCAACTCTAATATGTCTGTCAAGTAATTTGACAGGGTATATTTTTTTCTTTTAAGTTAACATTCCACAAAAGAAATAGGGTTAGTCAGAAAAATAAATTATTTCAAGATCCATATTTAGGTACAGTCTATATCAATAAATGTTCGAATATTAATGCAAATGTAAAAATAATATAAATAATGAAAGGAACTTTGACAAAGTAAATCAAAAAGTCAGATAATCGACACGAACAAACCTATCAATTTTATTTCTTTACTTATAATTTTCCCATTGATCAGATATTACCCTAGCTCCATTGCCAGCTTCACAATCTTTCCTAAAATGACAGGATTAACTTATTTAAAGGCAAAGAAAGTTGTGATTGAATAAATAATTACAGAAAATACCAATACATTATTATAACTTACTTCTTAAGAGTGACAAGTGCCATACACTCCATATAGTTAAAGCCTAGGACTCTACACTGGAAGCTAGTATCAATTTGATACTGTGTCAGGTCTGGGTTCTCTGCATCTTCATCACTCAGTTGACATAGCTAAGACGAAGAACAAGACGATATTTACCACCAATAACTAAACAGACTTTACTTTAATCAAAATATGGAGAATGTGTTTAAAATTTTTAATGATAAATGAAAAAGAGCCATAATAAGAACTACTTACAGCAGAAAATCCTTTAACATTGTCAGGTAATTTGAAGTAAACACCCTTTTTCTTGTGTACCCATGCAACTTTTGCTTGCACAATGGAACCAATTTGCAAATTTCCAAAACAATTGATTGGAGTTCCATTGAACTTTAGAAGCTTTGGTAGACCTGACAAATGCAACATTTTGGTGGTGGGGTTGAGGTACAAAACCTTTAGGTCAATCTAGAGAAATAAAATGGATTTTTTGTTTTAAAAAAGCTGTTAGTTTTTGGTTAAATCTATATTCAATCTCAATTACAAAAAAGAGCTATTTAAAAATACTCCATTTAAAAGAGAACCAGACCAGTTTACCTCTGAACTGGTGTCAATGTATTCAGTTCATTCAAAAAATGTTTCCAACTTTAAAGTGTAGTTTAGTCAATTCACAATGAATCACACAATATTTATTTATTTTTAAAGGAAAGGGGGGGTGTGGGGGGGGTTGTGTGTGTGTGAAAAGTCTGGATAAGCACACATAGTTATAAATTGATAATAGTCTAACCTCTTGCCCCACAGTGTAATGAGAGGAAGATTTAGGCAACTGAGAACTGTGAACAACTCCAAGATAGTTAAAGACAGTGACATGTAGACCATTTTCTGAAATCTGAAAAAAAAGTGAATAAAGATAAAGTCACTGAGAAATGAAAAAAATATAAGCTCCATTGGAGTGAATAAACTTTCTTAGCAACATCGTATACACAATGAAATTACCTTTTTTTTTAAAATTGAATTGTTACAGAATATAAAAAAATAAAAACATAAATTTATGAATAAAGTTAAAATACAGAGAAAATGTTTTGCTCAAACTCACACTGCTGACGATGCCCTTTAGGTTCATTCCTGGTAAATAAGAGTTAAGCTGAAATTTTGCTGACAGCTGAGAAAAGTAAAGATTATTATTAGTTAATATTAGTTAATGATCAATGTAAATTTTAAAAATAAGACAGTTTTATGAATAATACAAGTGATGTTATTAATAAAGACTTTGGATTTCCTGAATCCTAGGAACTGCATCTTTTTTTATCCATGTTAAGAAACTATTGCAGAATTAATAATTTCTGGTTTAACACATAATCAAATTGTTTTTAAATAATTTAATATAATTAATGCCAACATGGCAAAGAATATCACCTGCTAATTCGTTAAAATGATATTGAGATGTATATATAAGTGAATTTCAACTATTCAAAAAACTTTATTATGGTGTCAATGAAATAAGGTGATGCAATAAATATACCTGATTTTCGGGAGGTAAAATTCATTTTATTTCCGAACTAACATTCTCTGGGCAATTTTTTTTGTTGCTAGTTTTATGTCTTTGTCTTTCCATTCTTTTGAAGAAGATTATTTTTATTTTTATTCATATCAGTATCATAAAAAAATTAATCTGCCCTATGAAATTAATTAATCATTCAGAATACATATACTTACTCGTGAATTCTCTACCACTTGTGGATCTATTGTAATATTGACGACCCGGCTCTCCCCTGCCATGATCCCAGCTTTGTCTGCCATTTTAAGAACACACCACACTGGTTGGCCAATGCACAACGAGGATCCTGAGAAAGCAATAAGACTTAAAGATAACAAGAGATGGCAGAAAATACTAAGATGAACCTTTTCTTCTATTTAGATCCTTAACTCGTTTTGGGTCCCATTTTATATTTCTTTATTGCAACAGCACAATCAATGAAAATCTCGTTATTTGAAAGGTGGTTGCAATCTACTTATAAGGTATTCATTTTTTATTAATCTTTTACAACGAATTTAAAAGCAAGACTGAGATATTTAATTCTTTTGCTGCAGAATTTTTTGATAGAAAAAATGTACATTATTTTTCGAAGAGCAAAAAAGGAGCGAGAGACTGGGTTAAAAAATATTTAAAATATTATTTTTTGTTTAATAGGACTAAACTTGGTATCAAATGAAAAAGATTATTGAAAGGAAAATATGTTTGTTAATTTATTTCCTCAGTTTAAATAAAATAAGTTAAAGAAAAGAACCATAACATGTGAAATCATTAAATGCTAAACTATTTTTTCCCCAAAACCTATGACCTCATCTTCATTCTATAACTCAAATCCTCTAAACCTACTACTATCGGAATCATCTAATGGATCTAAATATCAATCATCTTCACTATCAAAACAAATAGTATTAAATAAATCCAATGCTTTTTTGAGCTGTTAATCGTCTAGGAAACTTACCTATCAGGGCTTAGGGTAGCCATAGCAACAGTAGAAAAAAAAATAGCGAAGAAAATCATTAAAATAATGCCTCAAATGACAACAAATAAACCTTATAGCCCTTAAAAGGTTTAACCCAGAAATAGCAAAGAAAAAAACATGATATTGAAACAACGCAGAGCGCGTTTTCCGCAGCGAAAGAGTTAACAACCATAATGAGTAAGATGAGCAAAGCAAAACTATTTTGTCTTAAAGGTTGGTTTAAATAAATATTTAGCAATACTGAAAGTTTTCAAGTGCTAAACATGAAAAACAACTCTCAGCACATTTATATGTTAACGAAAACTTTTCTAAAGTGACAAACCTCCATTGCAAGCTTGAATAAATGCCACAGCATCTCTTGCTATAAGGAAAGCTTGAAGACCTTTAATACCAAGGTCAACATTATAACCATGGTCTTCAACACTAGATATGCTCCCAAACAAGAGCTAAAAAGAAAATAATTTGTAAGAATTAATGCCCATTATAAGTATATAAATAGGTACAATTTAACCTATAGATGTTTATATATCTCAATTTTTTTTTGAACAGCTTTGCTTTATAAGCACTTTTAAGAAAATTCCAGTCCTGTTTTCATTATTGCATTGCCCAATTGAGTAAAGAAATGATAACATAATGCAAAATTATAAAATTTCAATCCATAAACATACCTGACCATCTTCAACAGCTTGAAGTTGAATAGAAGTATTAATTTTTGTTGGATCTGAAGATAATATGATTTTTCTTTTTTGTTGTTGTTTATCCTCAATGATATCTCTAACTACTACAGGCAGTAACATCCCTGGTTTCAAGAAATCCTCTGCAGACTTTAATTCCTGAAATATAAAACCAATTTTCTTTTTAACGTATAAACAATTTAAGATCTGAAAAATGTTACCATGCTATAAAAATCTAATATCTAGGGGCCATGATTCTGAAAAGTTAATAATCCTACTGATTTAAAACAAAAAATTAACCTCAGCAGCTGTTTCAAGATCATCAGAACAAACGAGGGCTTTAAGTTGTTTTGTATATGATGGGGATATGTCTGTTATAGGTAAGGTGGCCATCATATTTCCAGGTAATGATACTGAAGCGCCATATTCAAACACATGCCTGACACAACCCAAAACACAAAGATCTGTACTAAGATCCTTAAAAGAAAAGAAAATACAATTCAGTAAACAAAATGAACGGTAAAAACAAATATCTTTCATTTAATTAGCTTATGAAAGACTTCCATACTTCTTTTTTAAGTCAAAATAATGACAAGGTTATTAGCTTTTCAATAGGAAAATGGCATGCTCTTTAGATATCATTTATTATGTCATACTCATACTTACTTGATGCAAAGGTGTCTCTATTATATTTTGTTTTACTTCCTTCCTTGGATATTTTGCCCTACTATAATTAGTTGGGGTAGACGGATGTTTTCTTTTTTTTGATACCAGCTCACCATTATTTGTTACCTGTTATTTTGAAATACATATTAAAATTATATTTCCATTCAAGCAAAAATAATTGTTTTTAAAATGCCAAACTAATATCAATAATTATATAAAAGTATATATTTTAGAGCCTTTGAGAGATGCTTATTCAAAAACAATTTTAAGAATAAAATATTTAGATGTTTACTTGCAGTTTTAATGTTAAAAAATCAACAAATTTGTGATAAGCTTCCATTTAATTTTTTTAATTTATTATTTATTACATAATAAGAAATTATTAGAATTTAGTTTAACATAATTATTTTTAACTAATTCCATATAAAAATAAGCTTTGATTTTTAATATTAATTTAAGAATTATAAATATTTTATAATCGCACCTGGCTTTTGGTTAATTTTACAGAACTCTGAATGCCAACATTAGTTAAGTTTTCAGATTTCTTTATATGTGGCTTTCCACGGGGAAAGTCTTCCTCTGATTTCCACATTGTGACCTGTTAAAATGTCTTGATACACTGTAAAAAGAATTTTAAAATTATAGTCTTAAAAACTTAAACTTTAGATCACTAAATAATTTTTTTTTTAAAGTAAAACATAGTATTATGATATTTTTTTTAATTTTAAGAATTGGCTCCAATCTTTTGCAAATTACTTTACATGCTTAAATATATATAATAAATATGATAAGCACAATTAAACCCCTGATAGGCTAGGTCAGTGCAGCCCAACCGTTTTAATGGAGTAGAGGGCCACACAACCCATCTCCAAAGAAACAAAAATTTTTAAAAGAAAATTATTTACTTCATTAGTATTTCTTACCGTAAGCTTGACAAATATGAAACAGAAGACAGATTTATAATAACGTAACACAACAATGTCTACAATCTACGCCCCATCACCTGATTATCCATGATAACAACAAAACACAAATCCCCTCATCCATTCTTATTTTAAATACACTCTACTTGAATGAGGTTGATCTTGCATTAATATGAAACTGAACGTGTTTCAAAAGCAATTTTTATTGCCTCTAATTCAATTCAAGTCCTGATGCCTTCATAATGTTTATTATGTCAAATGTATGAGCAAGTATGCCATTAGAAGTTACTGTATCATTGATAGTATGATTGGTAGTATAATATAATACAATCTACAAACTAGATAGGGTGCCCGTTTGTCAAGTGGTCTTAACAGTGTCAATCCAATGCTAATGGGCTGGAGCTAGATCCCCAACAAAAGCACTAAAAATATTTTTTTTAAAACAGCATCCCAGGTGAATGGGACCAGTTAACCTTGGATGGCAACTCATCAAAGAGAAGGCAAACTCTGAACTCAAACCTGGACATTGCCTGCCATAAGCTGTATTACATTGACGCAATAAAAATTCAAAGGACCAAAAAATCTTTTATGTGTGGTTTCTTGCATGCTCTTTAAACCCCCCCCCCCCCAACTCTACATGTTTTATATTATTAATACTGCGGGGAATAAAGATGTCATGCAAGATAGTAAACTCCAATAAATAGGTTAAACCTGGAAATTGCCTGCCAAAAGCTGTATTACATTGACGCAATAAAAATTCAAAGGACCAAAAAATCTTTTATGTGTGGTTTCTTGCATGCTCTTTAAACCCCCCCCCCCCAACTCTACATGTTTTATATTATTAATACTGCGGGGAATAAAGCTGTCATGCAAGATAGTAAACTCCAATAAATAGGTTAATCTTTTCCTTTGTGAAAGACGATTATAATATTAATCAATCTTAATCAGCAAATATAGAAAATGAGAAATTAACTCTTTTTCTTATAACACTTGGACCCACCGGGTATATTCTCAAAACACCCGGTCCCTGAGTAAAAAAGCTGCACCTGGTTAAGCCCTAGCGATAATAATAATAAAGTACAGTATATAAATTACCTACTACTAACTTACATCTGATAAATTTAATTACCAACTTCTAACATAGATTCACATCTAGTGAAGGAGAACTAGGGTCAATAGCGGTATTTCAGTACAGGCTTAGCATATATATAAGAATGAGATATGCTGACCGTAATGCCAAATAACCTAAGAAGATTTAAATACGTTCCGATTCTTAAAAACAATCATAGTTATTTTCTGTTATTTTAAGGAAATCATATAAAATTAAATGCGCAAAAAATATTATATATCCGCTTTTATTTTAGTAAACATTTAAGTATTACGATTATTATAAATTACAAATACATTTAAAGTATCAACTAAGGAACGATTTTAAGCATTTTATGTGTTTGAAAGTTATGAAAAAATATTAAAAAATTGTAAAATATTATCAAAGCATTAGACTGTAATCACATTAATAGTTAAAACTCAAACATCATATGATTTTAGTGCTTTTTTAATATTGCGAGATAAAATTAAATTAATTTTTTCTAAATAATCATGCAAATGATGTCATGGAGCAATTGCCTATTTAGCCAGAGCTAAAAGATCTCAGATTTGATAACCGCACTTGACAAAATTGATAATGTATCTTTCCCTTCTTAAAAGTAAAATCAATAATTATAATTATTGCTTTTTAAATTGCTAAAATTAAATACAAATGTAGCTTAATATCTTTAACATTTTTTAAGTTTTTACTATTTATTCATTCCAAAAATATACTTTTATAAAATTTATAAAGTAGTAAAAACTGAACCTTTAAATATACTTTTAATAAGAAAATGCTGTTTGATTCAATCAGTACAGCCAAACTGCATAGCCTAATAGCATTCCCTAATGCACTTATCACTCACCCAAATAAGAACAAAGCATATGAAATGCAAAAATGTGTTTTTGCATAAGTAAGGGGGCTGATTTTAAAACTTGGGGGGGGGGGGGGGGGGGGGGTAAAAAACATTTTTTTTTTCATCTACTTTCATTTAGTTTACATCTACTTTCATTTAGTTTACATCTACTTTCATTTAGTTTACATCTACTTTCATTTAGTTTACATCTACTTTCATTTAGTTTACATCTACTTTTATTTTGTATTGCCCAAGGTAGCACAAGACCATACGAACGACAGACAGATAGAGCGCTTCCTTGAATAGTTGCGCAAAAGCTATCTTTTATTCTGTAAACTTTATCGATACATATTTAAAAATTAAATGTATGGATGTATGTGCCGCATGCGCTCCTATACCATTCATCTTATTGCGATAAAAGTTTTTTTAGTTGTTTTACACACGACCACAAATTTTTCTGAATTATTACTAACATTTTACAATATTCCATTTTGGGCCTGGGGCCACTGGGGGCCCTAAATTTTTTTTTTTTCCTTTCATTTTGATGAGCTAAACATAATTTGTGCATTCATTCCTATATCATTCGGATCCTTAAAAACAATGATAGGGATAGATTTGCTTATATTTTTTATGTATAAGGCTTAATACATTTAAATATTTAGTCCATCTGCATCAGATGTGATGAGATCATTAATCTGTACTTATTTTATAATTAGATTTAATTGAGTGACACCTGAAATCATTTCCATATTCCCAAACAATTTCCCAAACCAATATATGCTGGTGTGTAAAATGTCTTGTGTTAACTAGAAGTGGTAAAAGTATATAATATGAGTATTCCAAACAGAATATTTATTTGTGCATTCTTTAACTAACTGTGTGACCCCTGATGACAACTTAAATGTTACTATTGCTATCCTCTCTGATGGTACATTACAATAGCATAGTGAAGTGTTAATTTTTATTTTATATTGATTTTACTTTTTGTTCACTGAAGAAGGCTTCTTGCCAACATCATTGACATGTGTCATTTTCTTCTGGTTTTGCTCTTACTTTGTTTCCTTTTTACCTAACCTGATTTTAGTTTCTCCCTCTTATCACCTTTTTAAATATTACCATCACTAATTGAACTAATTGTGAGTGTCAAGGGTATGAGAATCACTGTTGTTATGTGTAGAGCATTGTTGTCATGTTTGATAGTGAAAAGATTTTGAGTTAGAGATTTTACTTGTAGCTGTATCATTTGTGTGAGAGTGTTGTGACGTAATTGTGTAATGGGAAGTGAGCGTTAGTTTTTGTTGTTGTTGGAGAAGAGAGATGGCCCTTGTGCACTTTTTAAGATATAGCTTCTTGTGTGATGTTTCTATGTGTGAGGATTTCAACTAGATATATTGTGAAGTTGAACGGTTACAAGCTGTACAGTGAAGTACACTGATTGTCATGTTGAAGAGGCATATTAAATTTATATATTGTAACGAACAGTAGAGTGTTTGTTGATTTGGAGACTATTACTATTGGTTGTGCTGTTCGGTGATCAAGTGGGAGACTTGGCTGGATGAATAGACACTCATTGCCATGAGTGGATGATTTGCAACACAACATATACAAAGTCTCGACAGTGAGAGTCTCAAATAATATTTATAAAATTACTTTGATTATAAAGTATATAATTTGTCTATAGGCCTAGTAACATTTAAATATTTAGTTTATTATCTGCATCAGATGTGATGAGATCATTAATAACATGCACTTATTGGATTCAATTGAGTGAAACTGTTCTTATTCTGAAAATTCTTAAATCATTTCAATTTCAATATTTTAAAAAACAATTTCCCAAACCAATGTATACTGGTGTGTAAAATACGGGCAATACTTCATGTGTTATGTTGTGGTGGTCATTGGAGCTAAGAGAAGAACTGACAGCAGTGCTTTGGAAGCTTTCATTACCACAGTGACAGAGAGACAGACAAAGTTCAGACCTTAGAGCAAAGATGTATTGACAAGGCAAACAGAATTTCATAAAGAAGTCACAAGAACAGGAGAAGAGAGTGCAGTCGTACTGAGATAAGCCAGAAGTTGTAGAGGACAGAATGTATGTTTCGGGGCAAGTCAAAGAACACTGTTAATATTAATGGCTACAAAGCGACGCGAAGCGGGAGGAAGTAATCGCCATAATTGTCACGTGACCAACCAACTGCATATAACGATGAGTTATATGCAGTCGACTGCGTATAATCACTTCCATAAATTCATTTTAACCCACACCCCAAAACAATACCCCTCAATAAAAGTATCAAAACAAGTTAAAAATATTTATGTTGTTAAAATAGGTATCTGTGTTATTAAATTATTTGTTTTTATTTTTGAATGAGTTTTATGGAGTAATAAGCTGGATTTCCAGTGTAAATCAAGTTATTTACTTTTTTTTTTTTAATTCGTTATCGACAATAGGTCATTTTGGGACACACGTGGACGTAACAAAAATTTGGTAGGCATTTTTTTACCATTGAACTGGGTCCTAACCTCTTGAATTTTTTATATGTTTTAATTTAATTAATTTATGCTATTATCGACCGACTTCTTTTTATTTAAGAAAGACACCCTTTCTATCAAAAAAATATGAATGAGTAAATTTACCATTATTTTTACCATCAATTTTCAAAATTAAGACCTCAAATATTTTTGGCCGGCACTACGTACACCACGGCGGTGTACCTAGCGAAACTATTGACTTTGGCCTGCGTACACAGCGGTGGTGTACCTAGCTAAATCATGGTCTGTGGCCTGCATACACCGCAGCGATTTAAAGAAGCAAAACTATGGTCTTTGCGAGTCTTTAACTTTTTGGCCTAACCGGTACTTGTAGATTTAATGTTATACTCGTGTTAAAACTGAAAACTATTTATTTAAAATCCGTTTATTACCTTGGAAAGATATTGAGTAAGTTCCACGCTTATGTGGCAAAGTTCTTGTAAAGCATTTCTTATTATTTTTTGCAAGGGGGGGGGCTGGGCGTGTGTGGTTAAAACATAATTTATTTTTAAAGTTAACCACCTTATTCAAATATATTTATTAATTGTAAGTTTTATCAATATGATTGTGAATCTTAATAGGCATAAAAAGGGTAGCTAATTTGAAATTATTCTCTCCCCCCACCCAGTTGTTTTTTGTTGGGTTTTCTTTTGGGGGGAGGGGGGGGGGCATTATAAATATAACATTGTATGTGATCCCTCGGGGCGTGGTGTAAAAATGAATGAATCTATTTTGTTAGCACCAAGATATAGTTACGCCACAAATACACTACGGGAAGAGAATCACATACTCATACATTGATCATGAAGTCGTGAAGTTAAATTGTCCAAGGCATTGTCATTGTGATACCAAGTGAGTGTCAACACAAAACAACAGTATGATGATAAATACGAAACGCTGCAGTGATTTTTAAAAGTCTTTTAATAATAATTAAATATCATTGATTTAGTTTTACATTGGCATTACACATTAGTAAAAAATGCCTCCGGAAGGTAAGTTTGTTGTGCGGACGTCCATTGTGGACGTGATTTGTGAATGCCCCCTTTTTGGTTAAGCCTCTATCCATAACTCACCTCCACCCTCCACCAAGGATCGATTTCTTAACAACAAAAAAACCAAGAAATACAAAATCTTTGTCATAGCGCAAATCCTGTCCCAAGCCCATTGTGCAATGGTTTCTGTGAGAAAACGTCGTGTTTTACCCTGAGAATAGCACATGCCATGCCATTCTGGAAACAAATTCCGTCGTGAAAATGTTAAACGCAGACCTATGGCTTTGCTATACAGTTTACTACCGATGCGCAAGTTTCTAAAATCGAGGTGTTTTCAAAAGATTTGCTGTGAGACTGAGTGTTGTGAATGAACCTTCCATATCGTGTGTACATTTTGCCAATGCATAAGGCATAGTGAAATCAAGATGGTTCAAGATTGAAATACGACCATGCACATTAATGACATTAATATTCATATGATATTAATGTTATACTACTGGTATTTTCTTTGGGTGTTGGTAAAAGTAAAATGTAAATATTCAACTACACAAAGAATAAGAATGTTGAAATACAATAGAATATCACATAGTTTTCATAATGTTTCTCTTAAACATGTTACATACACTATACATGCGCTTTCAGAAACTTTAAGTTTGTTTTCTAATGTCTTATTACTAAATTTACCGGTATTTTCAAAGTCTAAGCCTGGCACAACTTGTTGAAACACTTATATATATATAAAGTGTATTTAATATAATATTTAAACTTAAACATATATTTACATTTTTTAAATTGCTACAAAATATTTTAAAACTAAAATGGGAGGAAAAAAACTCGACCCCCTACAGCCTACTGGGAATTGATCTCAAAATATATTATCGCCAAGCGGCCACTCTACCACATGACCACACAAGATCTTCTCTAACTAGCATATTTTAAAAGCAAGCCAATGGTACATTTTTGCCGCGGTGTACCCAGGCCAAAGCCCACGATTTCGCTAGTACACCGCCGCGGTTTACGCAGGCAAAAGCCGATGGTTTCGCTAGGTACACCGTGTATGCATCCACTTCGAATATTTTTTAGAAGAAAAGTGTCTAATCATAAAACATCAAATAGAATAGAATGTGCAAGCTATGCTATAATTAACAATAAAATCTTAACAACAAGGCTCTCTGTAAATTAAAAAGTGGACGTCGCCATTTTGATAACAAATCACGATTTTCTGGATTTCCCGGATCTCATCAAAGTGCCTCACCTTATACTATATAAGTATAAGGGCCAAGGCTATAAGGATAATAAATAATGACATGATATTGAAAATTGAGAAACCTTTTGTTGTTGATACATTTTTTATAACTGTCAATATTGGTATAAAATTATACATTTTTTGCAATAAAAGTCAAAATATTTTTTTTTTAATATAAGTATAAGTATAAGAAACAGAAAATTTCTTCTTAACCCATATGGACCACCATATGTTAAGAATACGTGACTAAGTTTACGCATACAGCAATTATTACCTAATTTATGCCGCAACTCCTAATTTCTTCAATATATTATCTTACAGGCACTATTCCTACCTAATTAGCACACAATAAAATTTCTGTAATCTCGTGGTGACTTAGTCTACGGGCGCCGCCATTTTCCTACAATATGAGAGTTCATGAGACTACTTCCGAATTTAAAAGAAAAACTTCGTGGCTCCGTAAGCAGGCAAGGGTGACCACTCACTATTATAGCTTTTCAAATAATTATTGCACAATTGCTTGAATTAATGCCGTACACAGTAATTGAATTAAAGTTATTTAATCATAACATTTTTACAAGGTTTATACTAATTTCTTTTGAATTAAAAAATATCTATAATGCCAATTTCAATACATACTGAAGTTAGGCTATTTAACCTAACCGCTAAATGATCTGGTAAAAATATCCACCCATTTGTGCAATAGAAGTAGGCTACATATTTCTATTAGTTGCAACTAATGCGATACCATCATTCTTATTCAAATTAAAACCATTTTGTTGTTTTTTTTCAATTGACAATTCTGCAGCTATTTGACTATCAGGGCATGCCCATTCATAAACGTAAAGACAATGGTAAGCTTGATATTTTGTTCTGAAACCTATTCAGTAATAAATCAATTCACTCTTTTTATGTTTTATTTAAATAATTTAACTTTTACTGTGTGTAGGTTTTGCATTTTCAAATTATGTATACGGCACCGGGTATAAGTTTCACAGAGTCAAGCCGAGTGTTAATGATAATGTTTAATGAATTGGGGACCTATTTGCATTTTTCATTGTAAATTTCCAAAACCTAGAATCTTCATTATCTTTGCACAACTGTAGCCAGGGGTGGACTGGGGAGTTCAAGCGGCCCGGGAAAAAATCAAAGCAGCCCGGGAAAAAAACAAAAAGCGGCCCTATCTTCATGACTTTTATTTTTATTATATCACTGGTCCTAGCGGCCCATCGGGAATCTTCCCGGTGTCCCGGCGGCCCAGTCCACCCCTGACTGTAGCCAATCTTTAAATTATGATTTTTAGCTATTCCAAGTTCAAACTTTGATTGTAACATTTCTTCTTCTATTTTGATAGTTTTGGGAATCCCCAACCGCCACCTTACTCTTCGGATTATAATGATTATATGTTCGATAAATGAAATGAACGAAACAACATATGGAAAACTTGAGAAAAAAATGACGCAACTTATCGACAAGAAGCCTTCTTCAGCGAACAAACAACTGTAAAAATAAATTTATGCAAAGGTCAAGTTCCCTCATCTTCACAGTGGTGACCCCAATCCCTTCCTCATTGTTGCTGGGTGGCCGAGCGGTCTGAATTGTCTCAAACCTAATAGCTGGTGGTCTAGAGTTCAATCCCCACCAAAGCCAACATCCCCCAACACCCCTTGTACCGCAACTCATCTGAGGCATGAATACATTGATTGTGGGCCCTGAAATATAAGAAAAATATACGAAGAAGAAAATAATTCTCAGCTCCCATGTAGTATACGAGAGGACAGCAAGAGAAATATGACAGAACAAGTGAGAGACAGAAAAAAAACGCATACAGATTTAAAAAGGGAATTTGAACTAGAGGGAAAGCAATTCCACTGTCATTGGTTGTAATGAGGAGGGGTTGGAGAAAAGACTTAACATGCCTTTCATACCAAGTTGTATTAATACCAGATCAATTTGTTCTCCAAATTCACTCGGGTTGGTGTGTTTGTACAAATCACAATGGCAGCGGTATCAGTATCAAAATTCTCTGGACCCTGTGATCGCTTCCATTGAAGTATTTTTAGACTGGACCATACTAATCTTATGCAACATTACGGAGGTGTTCGGTAGATCTTCTGAGAGGCGGCTGTCTGTCTCACCTAGGATGACATCTGGCGGCGGTAGAAAACAGTGGTGTAGACAACATTGCGGCGAGTATAAAGGAAACCGTCCACTATCTGAAAACTTCTTTTAAGGAAGGGAATGTGTTGAGTCTGGATGACAAACGGGCAAGTGTTGCAACGGCTGCGTCGTCGTGGTTTGGTAACAAAGTTAGGGGGGGGGGAGGGGGGTCGCAAGAATGCGACTACGCACACGGACAACTCGCAGATTTTTATGATGTCTGAAAACAATGAGAGCCCAGGAAGAGAAAACGTCGTGGGTGTCAGGGTCGGCGAGGCGAATATCAAGTTTTTTTTAATAAAACATTTTTGGATATGAGTTTGTGAGGATGATATGTGAGAATAAGTTTGCTCCCGTCACCATTGTTACTCAGAGTAATATTTCTAACCAGTGATGAAATACTGTCTCCGGGTAGGACCTACATCGCACGTGCCTTGTCACAAAAGTCATTCTCCGATTGGCAAAGTTGAAAGTCGACGAAGACGAAGTACTTGAGAAAAGGGAATAGAGTTTTTACAGAATTTAGGGTGTGAAGAAGAGTAGAGTAAATAGCTATGGCTGTAAGTTATTGCAAGTAGGAGGAGGTGAGAAGGATACCTTTGTGAAGGGTAAAAGTAATGTCCAAAAAGTCAACTTAGGTATCAAAGATCAGTGATACGAATTTAATGAAGATTGAAAAGAGCCTACAAAATTTATGCATAGGCCAAGTTCACTCATCTTCATAGTGGTGACCCCAATCCCATCATCATTGTTCCTTTTGTAGAATTCAGGGAGGCCTCCAGTGTAGTTGCTTTCTAACATGTCTTCGAAATGGGCCATAAACAAATATGCGTAGCTGGGTCCCATGTAATTCCCATAGCAACACAACTGATTCGATCAAAGAATTGGCCGTTAAAATAAAACGAATTGAGAATGAGAACAAGTTCAGTATGTTTTTAGATGTAGGAGAATGGGGTTTACTCTCGAGAAATACTTTGTGAAGCTAAGAGACCGTCAGTTTGGGGGATTGAAGTTAGCCTATATAATAAATAGAACATAAATCATGCAGAAATAAATAATATTTCTTTTCAGGCGTGATGATGAACGATTCAAAAGTTTTCAAAGCATGGCTGGTATCTTTGAAATAAGTGGGCAGTGAGGCTACGATGGATTGAAAAACTCCATCGAGGAATTCCGAGATATGTTCGATGGGACAAAAGCATTCAGAGACAATGGGTTTGCCAGGGTCACCGTACTTGCGTAATTTAGGAAGTTGGTATTAACAAGGCTTATCGAGATCAATATCAAAGATGTTTAAGCAGGCGCCGATTCAGGGAGTGCCGATTCTGCTATAATTTTTTGTTAGTCTCTTTAACCATGTCGTTATTTTTTTTATTTTTCAGTAATAACGTTTGTTGGTCCTCGGTGGTAGAACTGGCTGTCTTCTAGTTGCCTGTGGGCCTCTTTAGTGTAAATATTTTTGTCCCGCACTACGACGTCTCCACTTTTGTCTGCTATTTCGATGGTAATATCTTTCCGGCTACGTAGCTTAGAGAGTGCCTTCGATTTTCTTTTTAAAAATATTAAGAGTCGGGGTGTGGTGGCAAAGGGAGGTTTTTTATGTCATGCTCCATGCTACTGATGTACAGGTCTATAGCATTGGAATAGTTAGATGGTGGTGTCCAATTAGATTTGCGTTCGCTATGGAACGGGAATAATGCATCATCTGTGTGGTGAAATGACTTTTATATTAGGGGGTGTTGGAACAACTCTCAGATGAGTGTCACACCTGCCTGTGTCTAGGGTTATTTCGTTATGTCGATTTCATACACCAAGGGACATAATAACATACTCATTTTTACCTTAACTACCAAATAATTTTTAACACCATTTAGTAAATGAAATGACTTATTTATTTACATGTGTATGGCATAATAATGAAGTATATGCAAAACAACTTTGCAAAAGTATTTATCTAAGTTCTAGTTTATTATGAACAATTGTCTCCAGTATAGCCTATGTATCATCATAAAGGTAGCTTTGCTTTGAATCTCAATCGTATATACTCAGACCTTTCACATTTAACTTATCAGTCACTCGTGCGGATCATCTGGCTTGATCATCTGACTTGATCATCTGACTTGATCAGTCACTAGTAGTATGTGGAGGTGGCTCCTCCGATTCTTCACTTCGTGGCTTTTCAGGGCGTTCACGTAAGTGGGCTGACAGAGTGGCAGTCTATGCAGCAGCTCTGATGATCTTGCACAATAGTGAGATCACTTCAACGTAGAAGTGGATTCTCGGGTCCTGTCCTTCGTGGCTTCTTGGGGCGTTCACGCAAGGGGATCAAACAGCAAAGCGTTGTAATAGAATTACTTCAAGGGTGGAAGTGAATTCTTTAATTCTTTACCTCGTGGCTTTTCAGGGCTCAGCGCTTTTCAGGGCGTTCACGCAGGTAGATTTTACGGCAGTACAATACAGAGATCCATTCACTGTGGAAGTGGACTATTCATCCTATGTACCTCGTGGCTTTTCAGGGCGTTCACGCAGGTGGATGATACCAGTCACAACTGTACCTTCTGGGATTACTCTTCCCCAGTACGCTGTGGTGGGTGTTTGTAAGACTTCTCTTTGGGAGTAAAGTCCACCAGCACGCGGTCCTTTATTTGCAGGCGATGACTTGGTCTTCCGGAGGTGGCTCCTGGGCGGGGTTCGTAGACTCAGGCCTCAGCACACCGATTCCTAATTCAACTGCTAAGGTTCGGTTGACTGTACTGCAGTAGTACGGCGATATAGCAACCAGGTAGGTTTAGAAAAATCCGGCTTTACGGTGCTCTAAGTTGGCTGCTGACTTAAGAGTCGATCACGAAATTAGAAAGATTTTAGTTCTGCAACGTCCTTTTATAATGATTCTATTCTAAATGCTTATTGGACAATCACTACCATTTAATATCCGAGTCCAATGAACTTAATAATTTGACGCGTAACATAATCGGTCACCCAAAACGAGACATTAGGCAGCGTTTATTTTTTTTAAACCATTTTCTTGGTTCGATTCTTAGTTCAGCCCTTGGTTCAGTCCGCTGGTCAGAATATTTAACAGTTCATTGACTTTTCACGTGAGGTAGACGGTAATCAGGGGAAATAACCCGTCCTGACCTCGAAAAAGGGGGGGGGGGGAGATGGGGGGGGGGGGGGATTCTAAGTAGGTAGTCGTGAGTAAATGGAAATTTTCAGGTCAGCTCCATTTCGTCACAATCTGGAA